TAGCAGGTGTCAAAATAATTTTAAAAGATAACCCACATGTGCTGAAGTACTGTGAGCCAGTACATGTATAGTGCTAAGTACTTTATGTGCATCATATCACTTAGTACTCAAAACAACCCAACCAGGTAGATTCTGTTACTATACCCACTTTATAAATAAGGAAACTGACAGAATATTGCTCACTGACCTATAGCTAATAAAGGGCAGATGCAAGATTCAAACCCATGCATGTCTGCCTACAGAGCCAGCTCACTGACAAATGGCCACCCAATCCACCCAGTCGCACGTGCTCTTACCTTTGGTGAGTAATACTTTGCTGCAGCCTGCCCCAGCAGCAGATCTCAGAATTGTCCCCAGGTTTCCAGGGTCACGGATATTGTCACAAATCAACAATAAGGGCAGTGAATGGTGAAGCTGAGTCTCTGGGTATGTCATCGTAACATGGTCAGGTTTAGCAAAAATCCCTGAAGAAACAAAATAGGAGGTTCAATTGTCTGATGTGGACATGGGGAATAATATGATTTTTCAGTTCTTTATCACTTTCTATGTTCTTAATTACATAAGTAATAAATACATTCTGACTGAAAAAATTCAAACATAAAGTCCTACCAGTGACCCCCTGCAAAACCGTTCAATGCTGGAGTGTATCCTTTCAGAACTTGTTCTGTGCATCTATCTACATACATGTACATCTATTCATATACAGGTGCTTTTTACTTTTACATAAAAAAATCATACTCTGTGTATTATTCTGTAATCTACTTATTTAACTCTATAATCTGTCTTAGAGAACATATATGTCAATACATTCAGAGCTATCTTATTTTAACTGCTGCATGTTATTTTGTAACATGAACGTACCACATCTATTTAGCTCTTCCCCAACTGACATTCAGATTATTTTCAATTTTCCCTATTATAAACAACACTACAATAAACATCCCTGCATGACTCTTTGTGCGAATGTTCAAATATTTCTCTAGGAAAAACACCTGTAAGTAAAATGAATAGGTAGTGTATGTGCACTCTTAATGTTAATAGGTACTGCCAAACTGCCCTCCCCACAGGCTATTCAGTTTATTCACACTAAGAACGCATAAATTCCTGTACCAGCCCCATCAATGAAGACAACAGAATGGCATCGGGCATCTGTATGCTATAATAAGATCCTGCATTTAAGAGTCACAGATAGCCACAAGAGCATTCAGTGGGTCAGGGAACCTTAGAAATTCTTTAACTTCTACTTGAATGGTGGTAGTGATGAGAACTCAATACTTATAGAGGCTCCCACTTACTTACATTACTGGATTTTAGAGATGTGCCTGAAGTCTGACAGGTAGTGCTACATCTCATTGATTTCTTCCTTTACCCCACTCCTCAAAACTGAAGGAAACATGATAAGGATAAGCTAAATATTATATAGTTTGAAAAGTCAGGAAATGATGAAAGCAGTCATAATGATGAAGGGCCCACAGAAGTCCAGGATGCACTGGTCATTGTTAGCACACATGCCCAAAGTGGCAAATGTGGTAAAAATGAGTGATACTCTCACTGGAGCATGGAGTAGGGATTGAGAGGTATAGCTAATAAGAGTACAGTTACTTAGCGTAGAAAACTTTAATAGTCCAGGTTCCCAATCTAGGGGAGAGTTCTGAGCACAAAAACACAGATCCCTGTTACTTGTTGGGTTACAGAAACAAGAAATGGTCCTTAGAATTTTCTTTCCCAACTAATAGCTGCACAGTGAGCCCACATAAGGAATACATATGCATTACTGGTATGTGAGGCCCTGGCCTAAACATTAGAATCTTGAAGATAACATCTGCTGCCCTAACTGTCCCTTACTATCCAAGGGAAACCTCTAGACTTACTACTATTCAATTCTCAGATCTTAAATATAACTCCATTGTCATAAGGTATAAAGAATTTAGTCTTTCCATGTTTAGAAGAAACTTTCTAAGTGCTGTAGACATCACAGTTACTTAAAACCTTAAGATAGATTCAACCAAATGATTTCCTGTTCAGTGAGCTAAACAAGGCAATAAATTGCAGGCTACTGCTCAGACCTGCTTCTAGAATAAGAAGGTGTCAATCACAAGTATCACCACACTGGTATAAGTTTTGGAAATGGAAGGCTAAATCTTTCGGTAAACATTTTCTTAATTTTTAGTTGGACATTAAAGGTTAAAGAAGTGACCTAAAAACATAAAGTTTGAGGAACAGTAGTTACTCCTTGGGACTACAAAGAGCCATAATACCACTGACAAAAACAAAAACAACTCTGGCTTCAGTTTCCACTAAAAATACTATAATATGCACAGATTTTGAGAACTGTACTTTTCTGGGTGTCTTAAAAAATAAAAGTTTGGCAATAACATTTTTAATTTGGTTTAAATAAAATTTGTTGCCCTAACACAAGTATAAACAAATAATCCTAGGTTTCTACTTCTAGTGACACTGTATAACCACTGACCCATTATTCCTTGTGGTGTTACTAGGTCGGACCAATCCTTGATATCCTCAAATTTCACCTTAATGAGGCTGACACCTTTCAGCTTATCAATGGGCAGCTCCTTTATGTATTCCAGACGACTAAAGAAGAAAACTTGTGGCACAGCACCAGCCTTCAGAGCGTCTGCAATCAGCCTGCGACCTTCCAGCAGGATCTTCCCTCGTTTTTCCCGAAACGGCCTGGACTTAACTATTGTCATTACACTGCTGTAGGTGGAAACAGAAAGACCAGTAATTGCCAACATCCTTGACACCGAGACACACCTAGTTCTAAAAGACATAAAACTGACTTATTCCGAGGAAATTACTTATTCTTCCCACCTTTTAGAAAGAGGCTCTTCAAAGGTGTGTTAACCTAGATGCACAGAAACAATAGGCAGGCACGGATAAACCAGCGGGTGGTACTGGAAGAAGTACTCCCAGCTAGAAGGAAGAAGTTAAGTTCCCGCTGTGAGGCGGAGAGAGAAAAAGGAATACTTGACAAGCTTCAGAAGTACATCACCTTAGCCTTTTGTCCCCGGGTAAAGCCTTATCGTAGCGAAGCCCCGACTCTTCCCAGGTGCTGGGCGTCTGGGATGGGGGCACCCTAATCGGCTGCTTCAGTCGCTGCACGTGGGTACTGGCCTCAGCAGCCGCCTTCCTGGGCTGCTTCCCAGCATCGGGCTTCCGTTCCACCTCCTGTCGGGATGGAAACAGTACTTTTACGGGGCTCCGCCGCAGCGCCCGGACCCAGCGCCGCGCGTCCAGGTCCCAAGTCTGGACCACTGGCAGCAAGGGTCGGGAGGCCCATCCCATGGCCTTCACTAGCGCCGCCATCTTCCCCCGCGCTATGGATTGCGTCACGAGAGCGCGCCCGCGGCAACCAGTGACGACACCAACCCCGGTGCGTCATCTGCGGGCGGTGCGGCGCTATACGCTTAACGGGCGTGTGTTGTCGGTGATCATGGCGACTCGCCGAGCTCTGCACTTCGTATTCAAAGTGGGAAACCGCTTCCAGACGGCACATTTCTATCGTGATGTCCTGGGGATGAAGGTGCAGACGGGGCCGAGGGGGGCCGACGTGCGAGGGTGGCACAGGCGGCTGAGTCGCGCCTGGCAGAGTAAAGGGAGTAATGGGTTTGTTATGAATCTTGGCCAGAACCCGGATGTCGGACCTTGGCCCCGGACTCCCCATTATCCCTATCGGGTTTTCAGCTTGGGGAAGCGTTGCAGGTCGTTGGTTGGGTTAGATTGCCTTTGAAAAGTGGCTCATGCTTATTAGTCGCTAACTACATGCCTACACATGTCCTTTCGTTCAAAATCATTGACATTCCAGTCTAGTGAGAAAGACAGTAAATAAGTAAAAAGTTATTTAATGCTCTTCCAATGAACAATAACTTAGTCTCTTCCGGTTTGTAGCATTTTGGTTTAGATAAACAGTATATTGAGAACTCTGTTTCTCTCACGGATGGTTTGAATGGTCTCTTTTGGATACTCAGCCTCTCTGGGTGAATGCTCCGGCTCTCCTCTTAACAGTTTAGATCTAAGTGTAAAGTCAGAACCTTTTCTCCCCTCCAGCACCCTGAAATGGCCTCTCTCCAGCCCTGAGCAGTTGTTAATCTGCATCGGTCACCTGGGTGACAAGGTGGAAGCTCTTGGGGGAGTCCCTGATAAGCAAGGGCTTTAGAGATGCAAACTTAATTTACTGTAGAGACAGTGCAGAAGATGTGGAGTGCAAAGGGAGTTCCCTGAGTTCAGTCGTTTAAAAAAATATATTGTCCATGTATTATGGTGCTGTGTTGATCTTCGGTGACAAAAAACAAAAATGACCCTCTACGTCTATCCTCAATTAAAACTCCTGGCCGGGGCTGGGGTGGGAATGGGAGTTGGATTTGTACAAAGCTTACAGTAATAAAAGTCAAAATTTGGTAAATGACAGAAAACCACAAAGTTCTCCCTTAATGAGACTGAAGAGTTATTGTGAAGATTAAACACATTATTATATATGTAGCATTTGACACATTATATGTATTATGTGTTAGCTGCTATTATCGAAATAAACAGAAGAAATTTAACTTCAACCTGGGTGGTCAAGATATTAATTCATGAAGACCTTGCATTTGAGTTAACCTCTAAAAATAGAATTTCCACAGACCAAGATGAGAGGGGGTAGTATACAAGGAAAACTGAAAAGTCAATGCAAAGATAAGGTATGTTTGGGAAACATCACTAATTTTATGTGTCTTTAGCTTAGATTACTTAGTTGAAATTGAGATGGGTTATCAGGACAAATAGATTGGGATGCTTCTGACAGTATCTTGAATTCTATGCTAAGGAATTTAGATTTTTGTATCCAGTAAATTGGGAGCTGTCTTACATTTTGGAACAGGGCACTGATATGATTGATCAGAGCTGCGCTTTAAGGACATAATTTTATGGTGGTCGATGTAAGAAACGTCTAAACCTGTAGAGAATTCTTATAAGAGTTTATTTGAGCCAAACTGACAACAATGCCAGGAAGCAAGATCACGAATGCTCTGGAGAATGAGTTTTGCAGTATCTATTATACATTTGGAATTAAGGAGGGAACGTAAGGAAGATTACATGAAGGAGAGAGAAAGCAAGATGGGGATTGGATTACAGGATAGTTAACAAGATTATGTACTCTCTTGAGGGTGGTCATGCTTATGAGGGGTCTGAAAAAGAGGCTTTGCAAAAGTGTGTTAACCTAGATGCACAGAAACAATGAACAAAGATAAACCTTTTACTAAAGAAGTTATATGCGTGGGATATGACTACCCAACATGACCTGCTCAGTTAGGAATTTATGATCAGATAACCCTGTGAGGTTACTTTCAGTCACTGGACTTGTCAGATTTATAGAGCATCTTTTTTATCCACAGTAATATTAAGGAAGGAGATCAAGAGAGATGATTTTTAATAGTCTGTGAGAAGTGATGAGTGCTTGAACTAGAGCAGCAGAAGTGAAAATCAAAAGGGAAAACAGAAACTAACATTGAGAGCCTACGGTGTACTAGGTTCTGTGTCAAATGCTTTAATAAATTATCTAACGGTCCCAGAGTTAACACAACTACTAAGTGACAGCCAGAATTCCAAACTTCTCTAGTGCTGAAGGCTACATTTTTGCTACTTACTACACAGCACTGCTTCTCAATTTAAATAGATTTCGTAACTTTGCTTGGTTGCCTGGTGCTTGGTGTCGAGGCATTCTTCCTCACCTATATTACTTCTAGACTGAGAAAGACACTAAGCTTATTATCTTTTGTTTGTTTTACAAGTAAGCCTTACAAATGTCAGTGTCTGTGTTTTGACATTTTAGTTTGTGCTAAATATGCTGTGTGCAGTACTAGTAAAACTTTACAATTTATTATAATTTCTTTACCAGATTCTGCGGCATGAGGAATTTGAAGAAGGCTGCAAAGCTGCCTGTAATGGGTATGACACCTTGTTTCTTAATATCTCCTATAGACTTTGAATACTTGAGAACAGAAAGCAGTTTCTCACAGTGAGTATAAGGCAATGGAATAAATTAAGGAGGCAGTAAATTAGGGAGGTAACTTCAGGAACACAAATAAGTATATCCTCTGGATGAAACAATGTCTTATCAAGTATCTCTTAAGCTTAATGGCCAAGGCAAGCTGGAAAATTCCAAGTTCTCGTGGGAATTGCATGCTTGTTGATGCATATACAAAAAAATAAATTAAGGTCAGCTTAGAGGACTGCCTTTATAGGATTCTGTCCCGTACTTTAAAGAAAAGACAAATGAATCTTTCCCTCATGTAAGTGCCAGACAGATGGTCTTTGGAGCATTTGGTGATGGGGCCCATGAGCATTGTCCACAACTGCTCTTAGCACCAGCTGTGGTCATCTCATCTTTATGGATACTTAAAGGACCAGAAGGGACTGCCTACCTCTCTGTCCCAATAGTTTTTTGGGGGAGGCCTGCCTGAGGTGGTCACTGGATTCATTTACTTATATTTTTCTAGGCCTTATGATGGGAAATGGAGTAAAACAATGGTGGGATTTGGACCTGAGGATGATCATTTTGTTGCAGAACTGACTTACAATTATGGCATCGGAGATTACAAGCTTGGCAATGACTTCATGGTAAATACCATTTTGTTACAGCTTTAGGTATGATGACTGCTGAATTGATGGCTGTGGGGTACAATTTAGTGATTAGTTTTATGATGTTTTCTATTTAAAACAAAACTGCTTGGGTACCCTGTCTCAGAGCTGGCCTCAGAATGAAATGTTTTCCCAGTGTTTAGGAATCAAACTCAGGACTTAAAGACAGCTTTGACGGAGACAAGACACCTCTAGGGGAATGACTGAACCTCGAGAGGTAAAAGACCAGAGTCATTGGTCTAGTCAGGTCCTGATCACCATCCAGAGAAATATGTTCCCTCTAGTAAAGTGTTCCTATTAGGCTGAGCTGTTACAGCCAGTCCTAGTCAGAGAAAAATCTGAGAAGGTCTTAAGGATAAAGAGAGGAACACATTCATTTGAGAATTCAGGTTATTATGCACCTAGTATAGTAATAGTATTGAGCATTTATTGAGCAGTTACTCTGTGCTAAATAGACTGTCATTGGAACCAAATACATAACAAGATTGAATAATTTTTACATATCTCTTCATGTATCTCACTAATTTATTTATTTAGCAGATAGTGATTGTGACTTACTGTATGTCATGTACATTGTTAGGTCCTGGGGATACAACAGAGAATGAAGGATGTCTCTTGGCCTAAGGAGCTTCTTGTCTGGTGGGGGAAACAAGTAAAGAGATAACAAGAATACAGTGTGATAAGCACTGAGATTGGAATAAGAACAAGGGGATGTGGGAACACATAGGAGGAGTTCACAAACTATTTCTGGAGAGGCAAGAGTTTAGGGAAAGCTTCCTAGAAGTGACATCTGAGCTAGGTAAGTAGATTGGAGTGGGAGAGTGAGTGTCCTCAGCTTGTGTACAGGCCTGGAGATGAGAAGGAGCATGGCACTCAGAACTGTGAGTAGCACAGTGTGGCTGGAGCTTAGTATGTGAAGAAAGGAGTGGGTAGATTTAGACTGGAGAAGTAAGCTAGGACCACATCATAGTAGGTTGTTCAGATTTCATTCTAAAAGCAGAATTAAGTCATTTTTAAACAAGAAAATGACATGATATTTGTGGTGTGCAAGAATCCACCAGGCTAGAGCATGGAGATTAGGTTGGAAGGGAGCAAGACTGGAAATGGGGAAACTAGCTCAAAGGATGAGTATAGTAAGTGACTAGTGGCTCCTTAAGTAACGTGGTAGAAGTAGGAGTTTCAGAGAAGTAGATGAATTTGAGAGATGTTTGGGAAATAAAATTGATAGGGTTTGTTGATTCGAGTGTATGAATTTCTCCTCACTGTTCTCTTCTTTACTGTCTAAGTTTAAATTAGAGAAAAAAGAGCAAAACTGTCTTAGTGCTATCAGCATTTAACTGGCTCAAGTCAAATGTTGATTGGTGGGACTGCAGTGGGTAGAGATCATTTAGGTGGACAACATCTTGACTGCTCCACAATGGATCTTGCTGAGAGACTTTGATAGTAAAATATTCATGATGAAAGGCACCTTCTATGGTTTCTCAGTTCATGGAACAAAAAGAGAAACGGTTAAATAGAACTTCCATATGTATAAAGATCTCCTATACGTTAGAAAGAAAAGATTCATCGGCTCAATATATTTTTTTTAAAGGGCAAAAATTATGAACAGAAAGTTCAGAGACAAGAAATTAGAAATGTCTCTTAAACACTGAAAAAGATGTTCAACTTCTAAGCTGCCATTTGTCACCTACAAGATTAGCAAAAATAAAGTATGATAACACACCGTGTTAGGAAGGATGTTGGAAAACTGCCATTCTCATACATTACTAATAAGAGTATAAATTGGTACAACCTCAGTTTGGCAGTATCAAAGTAATGTGTTTACTCTTTGACCTTGCAGTTTTACATCTAGAATTTAGTTTACATATATGTTAACAAACATGTGAGATGACTTATGTGTTAAGTTATTTATTAGAGTATTTATTCATGTAACAAATATTTACTGAGTGCCTGCTGTGTGCCAGGCACCGTTCCAGGAACTTTGAATAACCAGTGAAGAAAACACAAAAATCTATACGTGGCTGAAGAGGAGGTCCAGGGCCCAGCAGACAATAATTAATAAGTAGATTAAATAAATAAGTCATATAATATGTTATTTTAAAGGTGGTTATTATTACGAGGAAAGAATAGAGCAGAGTAAGGGGGATTGGGAGTCTGGAACAGATGACTGCTTTTAAGTACGGTGTTGAGAGAAGGTGTCAGTGAGGAGCTGACATTTGAGCAAAGGCTCTAGGAGATAAAGGAGTTAGCCATGTGTATATCTTGGGGGAGAGCATTCCAGGTAGAGAGAAATAGCCTGTGCAAAAGCCCTCAAACAGCTCCTGACATGTTCAAGAAAATACAGGGAGGCTAGTGTGGCCAGAATAGAGAGAGTGAGGGGAAACTGGCAGGAGGTGGAGTGAGAAATGACATGGCATCAGACCTGGGCCTTTCAGAGTTTTAGGCAGAGATAAAACAACACAGGGTTGCTGTCTTAAGAAGAAAACTGTAGAGTATGTTTCAGGAAGTTTACTCTAGCCACAGAGTGAATAACGGATTGACAAGACTGGAGGCAGAGAGAGGCTGTTCCAATAATCTAAGCTAGAAAGGAGACTGGCCTTATCAGAAGGCATTAAGTGTACATTTTTAGGTATTTTAATTAGATTAAGAAATGCCTTGATAATTGGTTTAAATTTTTTTCGTTTTAAAAGCAAAAATAAAAACAAAACATCTTAAGTAGGTAGCTGGTGAGCCAAGGTAAGATGATTTCTCTGACTAGATCTTTAAAGTTAGATTATCTTTGGTATTAAACTTATCAGACTTCTCTGCCATTTGAATTTCTGTCCTATGATTCACAAAGTTTAGAGTCTTTAATTTTTATATTTTAATTTTTTTCAATTATAGTTGACATAAAATGTTATATTAGTTTCAGGTATGCAACAAAGTTTGGAACCTTTGTGGGAGAAAAACATCCAAAACCTACTTTAAAACCACTAGAGGAAAACTTTGAATGCCAGTTAAATCTTAAGTGATATGATATAAAGGCGATGCAGTTTTGTCTCATTATCTTGTTTTATAAAAGATCTGTTGTGATTATGCACTTGGATGATATTGTTGTTTGTCATAGGGTATCACACTTGCTTCCAGCCAGGCTATCAGCAATGCCAGGAAGCTGGAGTGGCCACTCAATGAAGTTGCAGAAGGTGTTTTTGAAACTGAGGCCCCAGGAGGATATAAGTTCTATCTGCAGAATCGCAGTCCACTTCAATCAGGTAAATTATACAAAGAAAAGCCCTCTGTCTAAAGGCATTTTGATGGAAGGAAAAAGGGAACTGGATTTCTTCTGTGGAGTCTTTCAGTATTGACGTAACATGTCTTTCCCAAGCCAATGTTGTTATTTGTTCTCTGAGAAATTATATTCTCTTATTAGAACTTATAATTATAAGAGATCTAGATTGGTTCTGTTCTACTGGTAATGTAGCTATTTAGGATGCTTTTTCTGTTGTGAATAACAGAAAGCCCAACTCAAACTAGCTTGAATAAGAAAATTGTTTAGTTCACAGAGCAGGCATTCTATAGGTAAGAAAGATTCTGGAGTTAGTCGATTAGGCAGCTCAGCAGTGGCATCAAGAAACCAAATTTTCTCTTTCTATTCTTTTGTCCGCAGGGGTCCACTTCTCCTAGAGCCAGTTTCCCTCACAGTTGTATGGTGGGTGCCAGTAGCAGTTGGGGCTGCATACTCCTACATTCTCTTCTGGTAGGAGAGGGAAATAGCGACTTCCTTTTGCTCTTTTTTAAGATCAGAGAAAAAAAAAAGAGCAGAGCAAAACTTTCCTAGAATCTTCCAGCAAACTTCCTAGTCAGATTGGATTCACATGCCTGCTTCCGAACCAGTCATGGGCAAGAGAAATAGGATTATCCTTAGGCCAGTTAATCCTATCTCTCCAGCTGGGGTCAGTCTCCGAAACTATAGTGCCCACCACATTGACTGCTACAGGGAGCAGGGAAGAAACTGCATGACGTGTTTTGTTTACAGTAGTCATCCTCATCATATGTGTACTTAATTCCTGCAAATTCTGGTACCTGCTCTGCCAGAAAATACTGGTCAATAGCAGGGACAATTCTGCTTTCTGCTTCACTCAGTGAACATATGCCCCCAAGTGGACTTGAGATGGAAGGTATATTTCTCTTTCCTCTTCTGGTCTGCCTAGTCCCGGATGCCGCTCATACTGAGTCTGATTATTGTGTTCAATGCTGCTTGCTTTTTATCTGGAGCTCAGCAAAAGACAGAGCGATCCGTTCCACTGTGGAAGGTTAGACTGGTGCTGTGGGACTTACTGAGAGATGATATTTCTGTACTTCATTAGTGATTTAAGGGACTTTTATGATGACTTTATTGATAGGTGGTGGTTACATTATACTAACATTAAAACTTAACTCCTGCCACTAATTCCACTGTACATTTTTTCTCGAATCCTGTTTCAATATATAAATATTGGAAAGCCCCACAATCCTAAGATGTTTTTGTCCTTTGGAATGATACTACCCCAAGGCATTAATTTCTGGTTGGTAATATAGTCAGATCTATCGGTCTAGCTGGTGTCCATCCTTCCTTTGAATCACTCACTTTTTGTGTAGCTTCACCCACTTGTTACCATTCCTGCCCCTGCATCCCTTCTGAGTCTGCTGGGATTTGTTGATTTCTCAATGAACAGGGAAAACTAAAATGGCCTGCCATGGACAGACCTGTGAGAAACACCTTGCCTTAGTCATGGCATTGCTGTTCTAGCAAATGGGACTAAGGCAGTGAAAATGGAAGAATGTATTGAATTTATTATAGTCAGGTGAAGACTTGGAACAGCTCTTCAGAAAGTCACTTTATAATATAAAAGTTTCCAATAATGTTAAATATTTTGGTATAATTGTTGTTCATTTTTGAAAAAAATAGATTTTTTTTTCCCAGACGGATGGGTGGGGGAGGAAAAAAAAGGAAACAGTACTTGTATATCCGGAGACAACTACTGTTAACATTATAGGGTATATTATTCCAATCTTTTTTCAAAAGTGAATATATAATTAAATTTTTTTTTTTTCAGATTCCATTATATTATATTGTAGGAAGATAAACAATTCTCTATTGTCAGATCTTTCTGTTGTCCCTAGTGTTTCATTGTTATGGGCAACACTGTGTTGAATGTCTGTGCAGAAGGCCCTTCATGCATTCATTTAGTTCTTTAATTGCTGAAAATGGGATTTCTCTTTCAAAAGCAGTGTACATTTTTTAGTCTTTTGATATATTCTGTCAAATTGTTGCCCAGAAGTGGACTAATTTACACTTTACTGATATTAATTATATGATTGTGATTTTTCTCTTGCACTATCACAGTGTTCTGAACTTTTTTATCACAAAATGTTTTATTTTAATTTTAATTTATTTGATTGTTTGTGAGGTTGAACTTTTTTTTATACGATCATTGACCATTCCAATTCTTTCTTTTGTGGATTACTGCTCTGTGCCTTTTGCTTAGGATGTTCTTCTTTTCCTGTTAATGTTTAAAGGTGATTTAAATATTAAAGACTCTGTCATATATGTTGCAAAAACTAGTTCTTACTTTGTTGTTTATTCTTTAATTTTTGTTGTGATTCTTTTTTTGCCTTTTATTGTCTAGGAGTTTTCCATTTCACGTAATTAACAACTTTTTCTTCATGGTTTTTGTATCTTGTTCAGGTTATTAAAAAAAGAAAAAAACTTTCTCCACCCCAAAATTGTATAATCACCTGTTTTTAGTATTTTTATAGTTTCATTCTTTAAACTTAATCCTTTAACCCATCAGGAATGTATTTTGCCATTTAGTTTAAAGGTATAACTTTTAGTGGCATTTATTGAATAATGTGCCCCTTTGTACTGACTTAAAATCCCTTTCTTATCATAAACTAAATTCTTATGTATACCTGAGCCTGTTTTGGTTTTTCTGTTCTATTTCATTGCACTGAACTATCTATTTCTGCTATTTTACTACCCTACAGATCCTGTATTAAAAGTAACTCTAGCAGTGTCTGATCTTCAGAAGTCCTTGAACTACTGGTCTAATCTACTGGGAATGAAAATTTATGAAAAAGATGAAGAGAAGCAAAGAGCGTTGCTGGGTTATGCTGATAACCAAGTGAGTGTTCTTGGAGAGAAATAATCTGTTACTTTGAGTTTGACTTATAAATGAGGTTAAATGAAGGTTATTCCCATAATTTCTTCATAGTGATTCAATATTTAAACAGATAAACAGAAGAAAAAAAATGGTGATAACCTCACCGCCCAGATATTACCTTTGTTTAAATTTGGGGCTATATCCTTTCAGAAGTGGAATTGCTGAGTCAGAAGAGATTTAATGCTGTAATGATATGTATTTTTATCTTTTTCTTTTTTAAAATAACCTAGCATTTGAGCATGACTTAGTCCTTGAATTTTGACCTAGCAGATCTATTCCTAGGAATTTATTTTACAGACATACTCATAGATGTTCACAAGGAACTGTGTACAAGGTTTTCTGTTGCAGCATTATTTGTAATAACAAAACATAATCTAAATGTCCTATGGATTAGAGGAATAGTTCAATAATTTGTGGTTCATTGTAAAATGGATTACTATGCAGTTATCAAAAAGAATGAGGTGAGTCTTTACAGGCTGATATGGTAACATTAATTGGAGAAAAACGAGGGACAGAATGTATAAATTATGCTGCCATTTGTGTAAAAAAGGTATATGCATGCCATGTGTCTAGAAAGATACACAGGAAACCCTGACTGGTTGCCTCTGGGGTGAGAGTAGGAGGACAACTTAGTTTTTATTTTATTCCTTTAGTACTCTGAATTTTTTTTACCACTTAACCTTTTCCAAAAAATAAACCCACTTTCTTATTTCTTTTCAGTGTAAGCTGGAGCTACAGGGCATCAAGGGTGCAGTTGATCATGCATCAGCTTTTGGAAGAATTGCCTTCTCTTGCCCCAAAAAAGAGGTAATGTTTGGTACCAGATCTATTGTTTTAAGTTCTGTGACTGGCTAGTGCAACTGCAAAGAGCCTTGGGCCCCCTTCTTCAGGTACGTTATGAATGTGTCTCTGGCATCAAGTTCAACAGTTATTTCAAGAGTGTCTAATAAAATCAAACAAGTGGCATCTGGGATCTTCGTGGTTGATCTGATATTCCTCTAGGGCTGGTAAGGACCACGGCATCAGAATGGTACGTAACCTATAGTTCACTTTTCCTTTTTGTTTTCAAGTTGCCAGACTTAGAAGACTTGATGAAAAGAGAGAATCAGAAAATTCTGACTCCCCTGGTGAGTCTGGATACCCCAGGGAAAGCAACAGTACAAGTGGTCATTCTGGCCGACCCTGTAAGTATTACTCAGGAAGGGGACGGGCTACACCAGGGGTTTCTTTTCAGGCATCTTTTTGCCTAATTTCTTTTTGCCTTTATTGGCGTAGGATGGACATGAAATTTGCTTTGTGGGGGATGAAGCATTTCGAGAACTTTCTAAGATGGATCCAAAGGGAAGGAAATTGTTGGATGACGTGAGTCTCATTTCTAAATTTATATCACCATAGGCCCGAGGAGGGTGGCGTTAAGTGTGGATGGGGAAGGGCCAAAGCAACAGGGGCCAGTTCTCACTATCAGAACCATATCCTTTTGCTGTTGGGGTGACTTTTGAGCCAGGGACGGTGTCTTCATTGCCACCTATATGGCTCTTACCTGAGTGCAGCATCTGTGCTTTCCCACTACCTCAGGCTGCCTTGGGGAACCATTACTGCATCATTATTTTGCTCAGTGAATGGAAATGCCTGGATACCATCCCTCCTCACTTCCGTAGCTCTTTTGGTCATCTCTTCTCCAATTTCTAGCATCATTCTCTTCCTCTCTAGTGAATTGTTCTCATTAGCATACAAACAATTTTTAATGTCTTCTATCTTTGAAAAATCTTTTATTTATCACACATCCTTTCTCCAAATTTCTTTTTAAAAACCTGCCTGCACATTGTTTCTACTTCTTGCCTCTCATTCACACTTCAGTCTCTTCTGCACTGGCTCCTGTCACTCAGTGAAACGCTCATTTTGACTTCGTCACTGACTTCCATATTGCCCAATTCAGCAGTTACTTTTCTATCCTCATCAGCAGTCTTTCAGCAGCATCCAAACAATTGTTCATTATTGTACCCCAGCTTCTAGCTCATACCTGGTAAGTAGTAGGCATACTCTATTGAATGCTCTATTGATGATTAAGGCATCAATCTGTCCCAGTTCTGTCACTTAATAGCTATGCGACTGACCTTAAGCAATGTACTTAATGTCTCTAAATTTCATTTTTCTTATCTAAAAATTTGAGGAAATAAGATTATCCTCCTTGTAATAGGATCATCGTATAGTTTAAAGAGCTTGCCACAGTGTTGAAATAAAACGTACACTCAATATTAATAAAGTAGGAAATGTCTAGAAAATATCATGTTTGTAAATTTTACTGTAGAGAAAATAGAATCTCAGGCCACCTTTCAGTTGGCAGATTTGCTAGACTCTTTCCTTGGTCTTTCATATCACTGGCCAACTTCCTCCTCTTTTGAGCTCTCTTCTCTTTTGGTGTTAAGAGATCCTGCCGTTTTCGTATCTCTTTGCTAGCTTCTCAGTCACAGGCACCTCTTTGTGTGTCTGATGTCAAAATGATTTTACTCACGGTCGTACTTCAGCTCATTTTTATTCTCACTTCTACGTTATTTCTTTTCTCTGAGTAGGAGTTACCTACTACGCTGGTTACCTCTGCTCTGAGCTTCAACCATCATCTTTTCTCTGACTTCCTAATTTTAAGTTCCTATTTCTCCCCGAGTTCCAAACAAGTACTTTCTGTTGTTGTTACTGAGGTAATATATGCATAGAATTTAAGTGTACAGAAATTTGATGTTCAGTATGGTGAGTTTTGACAGTTATACAATCACTACTCAAAATATAGAACATTTTCATCACTACAGAAAGTTATGCCCATTTTTAGTTAGTTCCCACCCCCACCTCCCAGAGACAACTTCTATTCTGATTTCTATCACATTACTTTGTCTGTCCTTGGACTTCATATAAATGGAATCATTCAGTAGGTATTTTTTTGCGTGGGTCTGGCTTTTTTCCACTCAATATAACATTTTTGAGATTCCTCCCTGTGACTGCACACATCAGAGTTTGTTTCTTTTATTGCCGAGTGGTATTCAGTTTTATGAATATAACAATTGACTTATCCATTCTTCCAGTGGTGGACATTTAAGTTGGTTTCATATTTTTATCTATTGTAAAGGAAGACTGCTGTGAACCTTCTTGTGTAAATTTTCTTGTAGCCATGTTTCATTTCTCTTGGGTGAATACCTTGGAGTGGAATTGCTTTTACTTTATAAGAAACTGCCAGTCATCCAAAGCGATTGAACCATTTTACACTCCTATCAGCCATGTCATGTACAGTGCTCTACATCCTCACCAACATGTGTGTATTTTTTTTGTTGTAGCTATTCTAGTACATGTAAAACGATTTCTGATTGTAGTTTTAATTTGCATTTTCCTGATGGCTGATGATGTTCAGCACTTTTTCATATGCTTATTGGCCATTTATTTTTATTTTTTGTGAATTATATGTTCAAGTCTTTTGCTCATTTGTTTCTATAATAAATTTATTTTTAATACTTCATGATTAAAAATTCCAAACATACTCAAGAGAGTACAACAAATCCCTATTGACTGTCACCCATCAAATCAATGCTATAATTTTTCATCATCCCTTCCCTCTAGCTTTCTTTTTGCTAGAGAATTCTAAGGCAAATCTCAGACACCATGTAATTTCGTCCTGAATACGTAAGTATTTTACACATTTAAGATGATTTAAAAGAAATGAAAATTAAGGAATTTTTTTGTATACTACATTGATATCATCACATTAAAAAAAAATCAACAATATATCTTTAATGTTACCTAAAATCCAGTTCTTATTAAAATTTTCCTGATCCTCTAAAAATGGTTTTATACAATTAGTTTGCCACATATATTTTTTAATTAATGTAATTGAACTATATTAGTACAGAACAATTTAATACGATCTATTGAGTTTCATGATAAATTAGTTGGAAGACACACCTCTATTTACATTTTAGCCATTCTAATCTATTCTCTAATCACTAAACATGAATTTATTTTCACTCTCTATGTCTTCGCTCGCATTATTTATTGTTCTGAAATGTTCCTTCTCTTATTTGAATATTTGCTTGTTTTTTAAGGCTCATCCAAATCCATTTTCAAAAAATTTGGCTACTTATCTTTTTCTTGTTGATTTGTTGGAGTTCTAGATATAAATCACTTGTTAGATATCTGCAAATATAAATACTTTTCCCAGTCTATGGCATGTCTATCTATTTTCTTAATAGACTTTTGAAGAACAGAAGTTTTTGAAGTCTAGTTTGTAAACTTTTCTTTTTATGTTTACTGTTTTTTGTGTTCAGACTAGTGTTACAGCCAGTGAAACCTTTTCATCTGGATAAACCATGGATATTTCAAACTCAGCATGTCTATAACTTAATTTATCTTGCCTCGAATTTATTCTTAATAATATTAAAATAAAAATTACTACTTATTAAATATCTCCTATGTTCTTGACATATGGCATGTTCTCAAGTACTTTATATATATTCTCTATTAATCACAATCTGCAAAGTTGATAGCATTCCCTTTCAGATGGGGAAACTGAGCTTCACAAAGATTAAGTAACCCAGTATTATACATTCAGTGCATAAGAAAGTAGCAAGGCAAGGGGTTGAGTGGAGGTCTTTCAGACTTCACGGTCAGTTATTTTTCCTCCTTTATACTCTGCTCCCGCCTCTGAACAGTACTGTATATCTGTTATCTGTTATCCCAATTGTTTAGACTTTTTAGAGTCTTTTTTTTCCTTATTTAATATTCTTTTTACTTGAGAATGGTTTTAGATTTTCAAACAGTCGTTTTAGAGCATTGTTTCTCCTCACCTCTAAATTCTGTTAGCTATTAGTCACCAAGAGCTATGAGTCTACCTCTGAAATTTATCTACTGCCTTCTGAAAAGGCCCCTATTATCAACTGTAATACTACAGAAGCCTCCTTCCTCCTTCCAGTCAATCCCTGCTGCCAGCATTAGCTTTCTAAAGCACAAATGCAGTAATTTAAAAAACTTTAATCTTCCGATAGCTCTCTAGTGCCTCCAAGATACATACCAAACTCTTTGACAGGGCATGTAATATGTCTGGCCCTTTGCTACTCTCTGATCTTCTGTGCTGCCTCTCCCTCTAATTAACCCCCATTCCAGTCGAGGTGAACTGTTTACATTAACCAAGATTTATTGTCTTGTCTCTACCTGAGGCATTTTTTTCCCCTTCCCTCTTATTCAGCTCAGCCTTCACAACTCAGAAGCTTTCTTGGGTTCTTCATACTGGAGTTTATTGTTATGCCACACTTTTATGGTTCCTAGAAAACAGAAGTTTCTGCGTCTTTGTGGTGGTGGTTTTGTTTTGGTTTTTTGTTTGTTTGTTTTGTTTTTTTTCTGCTGCATATCTTTGATTTTTTTATTTTCATTAAAATCCAGTACTAAGATTTTGTATAAATGCAGTACAACAATGTCTTGCCCCATTGCTGAGTCCCACTGCCCAGGGCAGCCACTTTCAGCTTCACTGTTTCTAAATGAAAAATACGCATATTTCCATTTCATTTTCAATTGCAGACGACATCTTTTACTCCTTTTGTTTTGGTCTACTGTCACTTTATCATTCTATATAGCAATTGCTCCCATACACACACACACACACGCGCGCGCGCACACACACACACACACACAAGCATGCATGCACGCACACGCACATCTTCATGCAAAATAGTTGTTTTCATATGAATCCTCAGCTATTCAATATGCTTCTCAAAGCCTCAGACTATGTCGCTGGTGCCACATGCAAACTCAACTTAATACCTAGCTCATAATGAAAATTGATATTTTAAAATGTATTTCTATACTTGCCTTTTGACTGAATAAATGAATGCATTTCTTTACCAAGCAACTATATAACATATACTTGCTTGTATTGGACAGGAAGTTTTAAGAGATTTAGGTTCTAAGCCTCTGCAAGTCCCTCTCCGTGGTCTCAGCCTCAAGGAATAATAGGATAAAAGGACTCTGGTAGAACCGAAACATGTTATTAACAGTACTAATACCAGTGGAATGGTGTGGGGGGTGGCATAGGAAAAGAAAATCATTCCAGGCTCAATAGCCCAAACCTCAGCTTTTCATATTTGGTCTCATTATCAGACTGAATCTTGTGCCCACTAAAGATTCCTGAGAGCCTACCCAGGTGCTAAGAGTGACAGCACTTTCTGTTCTGCCAAAGACCCCACAGCCTGGTGAGCTTAGTCCTTGTTCTGTAGTCAGTCAGTGACACTTCCTGGCTGCAGACCCTTTATAAAGTGAGAATCTACAAGCAATTGCTCAATACTTATCAGCATCCTCTGTCAAATTAAACATAATACTCGATACTGAACGAACACTTTTCAATTGTTAATGTCTTGATTATGGACAATGCAGCGAGGTACAAAGTGAACTATATGTTTTGTTTTATGGACTTACAATAACTGCATATTCTAATTCTATTTCCGTAGGCAATGGCGGCAGATAAAAGTGATGAGTGGTTTGCTAAACAAAATAAACTAAAGGCTTCAGGTTAGCAGAAGACATCACATGGAAAAAGCATTTGTGATTCCTGTCTAGCACCTCTGAGGCCTGATGTGTCCATTCTTGATAAATGCTCTCACAACTTGGCTGTTTCCTGTACAGGCAAGAAGGCTGGGATAGTGAAGATTTGTGTATTTTAATCTTTGAAAGCTGATATATGTTAGGTATAAAATTCTATTATTATCAATCTAATTAGTGGAGAACTCATGGAGTAATCTGCACTGTCACTGGAATGGCACAATCTGTGATTAACTCTTAGATGAGTAGTAAATTATTTTCCAGCCTGGGGCAGCTATATGGAATATTACCTTTGGTTGGGGATGGAGGGAATTTTAATAAGGATATAGATTTTATGAAAAAAACTGTTCAGATCCAAATCAGTTGCTTATAACAGGAATACTTCCAGCATCTGATGATAGTTTGCTGTTCTTATGTCTTACTCTGGCAGGCCTTGACATTTAAACATTTTTAAAGAAATTTTGTTCCTTGAACCAAAAGGTTTGGTTAAACACTCCCACATTCCTTGCTTTAAATTTTGAGTAGCCAGAGAAGACAGATGAACAAAAGGATGTAATCGTATTGTTACGTGCCTGGCTCTGTGCTAGGTTCCTTGTATAATTTTTTTAAACCTTACAAGAAGAGAACATGTTAAATTTCTTTAAAATGGATCAGATGATATCTTAAGCCTGAAAAAAATTTTTTTGAATGTTTCTATAGGACAGATTTTAATCACTGGAAACAATCAAGCTGTTAAATTTTTACTTTATCAGGTTCTACAGTGATTTACAGAATGGTACAGTTATGTCTACAGCTCCTAAATTGACACTGTATCTTGGAACAAGATATTCCTATTCATATTTAATGTGAATCACAGTTTTAAAAGCATTAAAATATGTTCATAATGTCATATAACTTTTGTACTGTGTGGTTCTTGCCCAGTTTATTGTTATAAGGAACAGTTCTTTAGTCACTGTGGTATCCTGGGTATATTTCACTCTTAACTAATGTATTTAGCCTATAGCAACTTCCTGCAATATATATGAACAAAGATCTTAAAGCTGTCTGGTGAGATGTGATTTCCTTTTTATTTTTCACTGATGTGCTTACTGTTGTTGCTTCTGCTGTTGAATGGTCTGTCATGAACTGGAGCTGGCCTGATGTCATAATCTATGAAAATAGTTTTTAATTGAGGAAAAGTATTGGAAAATTCCATGCCACAGCAGACCTTTTTCTCAGAAATGTCTCTAATAATATCATTTTAGCACTCCATATCCCAGTGTACCTTTGTGCGTTGATGCCTCCATGATAATCAACACTAAGGAATAGAAGGGTGTGATGTTCTCTTAAAACAAATCCCATATACATACATATACATATTCTCCCATAAACATCCCCAAGCAGAAACCAGGATTAGCTACAGAGTAGTCCCAAGAAAATTTTCATTGGTAGGCCTTAGATGAGTCTTTCAGAGGCTGGGATTTTGAAACCACTTGCTCCAGTGTTTCTCAACTGCCGCATCAGTAACTTCACTAAAAATCTGACTTTCCTCAAAACGTTAACTTCATCAGGCCTGTGTTCCAGTAGGGGCTCTCTTGGTAGTAGGACTTGACACTTGCTTTCTGGAAGACAAAGCCTCATGCCTCTCCATAATATTGGGTTAGTAGTGAATGAACAGCCCCTGAAGAGATAAGGGCCTCAGCCTCCTCTCTTTTCTTTCCTCTTCCCTCCCGAGAAGCTGAGCCTCTCACTGACCACAAACTTTGGGCATTTTCATAGCACGATTATCTCTCCACCCCTCTACTCCCACCAAATATCTACATATAATATGAGAATGAAAAGGTTGGGAATTCTACTGATTTATACCAAAAGCCTATTTTGATGGAACTTTCCCTAGAGAGATGCTTTTTATACATTTTAGACAGCTCCCCCGTATACATTTTAGATAGCTCCCCAGGTCTCTCACAGTCACTTTATCACTTTACCAACAGCAATCACTCTCATGCAGTTTAAGTGATTTATTGATGTCTCAGCTATGGTTGAGTTTCAGGACATTTCAGCCAACAAGGTCTTTTAAGCCCATTTCCCTATCAGAAGAGCCATGCTACTTCATTCTGTTTGACCCTTTGTCCGCCTTAACCAGTATCATTTTTCTTCAGTTCTTCCACTTTAGCAACATAGATCTTCATGGCGTCCATCTTGGACATCCCTTTGTTCTCATTCCACGCCTCCCACTTGGCCTTGGCTTTCACATCTGTGGCAGGTGGGGCAGGGATATTGCAGTCGCCCTGGGTGGCCTGTTTGTAGAAGCTGTACACTATCAGTTTCTCCCGATCACTCACAGGTCCCTTCAACTGCTTGATAGCAGCACAGGCCATTTCAAACTCCACTTGGCACATTAATGGAGCTGAGGCTGGATCCCTCTCTTTTCTAGGTGATATCTGGCGCTAGAAGCTGGAGAGTGGAGAGTTAGAAACACTTGAAGTTGGTAATTAAGTCTGGGAAGAAGGGAAAGGGAGATGGTAATGTGTAGGAGTAATACTTTATTTTTGCGTTCTCAGCGAGAAATCAAATGTGTATTTTTATAAAGTACACATTGCAAACAGACCCATTGGGTTGGATCTCCCCCCACTGTTGTCCTGGCTCGCTGGGGGAGGACAGTCAACATTTAAAAGGCGCCTGTGACGCCCAGAAAATTGAATGCTGCTGTACTCTGAAGGAGGAACGCTGGGAGCGACTGTGAGGCTGTGGAGCTAGGGGGTCAGTGTGAGACGGGGAGGTTAGAAGTATGTCAGAGAGTGGCGCGTCTATGCTGGTTAGCGGGCAGCCTGGGGAAGGTCGGTCATTCATTGTGGGTGAACTGTGTGTAGGGGTGATCCCAGGGGTTACTGGGTGGAGGAGAATGTGAGGCCAGGGACGGAGCTAATGGGTAGGACCCACGGGGATCAGGAAGCAGGGCTGTGCAGGGGACTAGGTAGACGAGTGGCTGAGCAGAGCCTGGAGATATAGGAGGCCGGACTCGGGGAGAGTAAGGGGCGGGGCAGGCACACAGTGGCTGAAGGGCGGAGAGGGGTCTGACCTGTTAGCGGGTTGGCGGTCTAGGACCGGTAGGGGGCGCTGTTGTTTGGCCGCCTCGACGCCGAGGGCTCGTTGGTGAAGAGCGCGCGTGCGCGCGGAGTGGAGGGAGGTCCGCGGCTGACCGCGCGGAGCGAGAGCTGAGACTGTGGGCGCGGACGGAGGCGCGGCCTGTTGCCCCGCCTCACTGCACCGCCCATTGTGCCGTGGCGCCTGCGCAGCACTTGCCGCCTAGCGGGGGAGGGGCGGTCCGTGCCGCCTCCAGCAACGCCGCCATGGACCTAGGTGGGTGTCTCGGCTTCCTTTCCTCTGGCCTGAGTCTGGCAACGGGCGACTCGGGTGGTGCTGAGCTGGCTCTGGCTAAGGGAGACCCTCGGGTCCGGGAGGGATTTTGAAAGGTTGAGGTGTCCTCCGAGACCGGGGGTAGCGAGGCCCGACTGTAGCCCGGGCCGCCCAGCTCCTTGGCCAGTCTCTTGCCTCCTCCAGCCCCTTTCCATGTGAAGGGCCAAGCGGATGTAAAGTTAAGATTTTCTGAAAGTGGAGAGGGTTCATACACTTGCTTTGGAAAATGCTCGGCTCGGAGGACGCCAGGGGACTTCCGGGTGCCCCGACGGTCTCATTCAACCGCTGGTAAATTCTAGAGAAGTATCTTATGCTCACGAGGTCCTCATCGATAAAATGGGGATGCTAATGTTTCCACCTCACAGAGATTTGGGGAGTTTTCGTTAAGATTACGTGTGTACAGTGTCCCCGTACGGTGCTTTGCGCGTAGCTAGCGGTCACCAGACTAGCAGTTGTGGGGAGAGGTTGCAGCAGTGGAAGTGGCTGGCACGTGCACCTTGATTCAGAATCCTCAAGGTTTCAGAGGAGGGGAGGAGGAGCCGGTATGAAGAAATCGGTGGCTCATGGCCCAGCCTCTCACCCTTTGGGACCTGTTTCTAAGGGGGTAAGATCAGGAGACTGCTCTGGGAGAGCTGGGGTGAGGCACCCAAAAGTGTACGGGTAATACTAGGCTGTGGAGAAAAGTTCTGGTCCCTGGCCCCACCCAGCTTTTAAGTGATGGAATTGTAAGAGTTTGGAGCCCGACAGCTGTGGAGATTTGTGTCCTGGCCCAACAACTTTGTTTCTGAGCAAATTGTTTCTGAGTCTCAATGTTCCATGTCTAAAAGAGAAATAATATAGTTCTCGAAAGTTGATTTGAAGATTAAAAGAGATCTTACATGCATACTGCTTAGTGGCCTAGTACAGTGCCTGGCACAGAGTAAGCACTTCATAAATATTGAGGAGTGGACACTCACAAGCACCAGGTAACCAGTAGTGATAAAACGCTTGGGAATTACCCAGCTATTAACTGGTCCTGGGACTTATTTAAGTGGCATATGGACGTCCTTATAGTCTCTGGAAGGTAGGTGTTGGTGGAGGCCAAACATCTCGGCTGAAATGATAGTGCAATAAAATTCAATTTACAGAATCATAGAGAACATATTTTGGTGCCTTGGAGAGCATGAGCTGGAAAGAAAGTCCAGAATTCCTAGAAAGAACCCTCAGCAACTACCCCTCCCTGAAGTGGGCCTCCTCCACCAGGAGCTAAAGTGGGCTGCATAGAAGTGCTTATCCCTTGGCTTTTTGCTGCTTCTGTAAATGGTTGAAGGAGCGGATATTCTTTAGTCTGCTGGAATCAGAAGTCTGTTAGCTACTGGCCTGGGAAGATGGGTTCTTGGGTCATGAGGGAGTGAGTAAGGGGTGGCATCTCTGGATGAGATGGTGAGCAGTGTTTGTACTCTGATTTAGTTTCTGGGTCAGAGGAAACACCTGAGAAAAATCTATGTGTTTTCATGTTTCTGAGCTGGGGGAGGCAAAGAATAGTGACAAGATTCTGGTCCTGCCAGCAATGGAAAGGTTTGGAGAAACCAACATTTACTGAGCCCTTCATCAGGCTCTTTGTAGCCTGATTCTTATTGTAGCTGTATCTTATTTAACCCACAGAATCCCTGGGAGATGGGATCAAGAACTAACAGTGAGCCCTAACCCACTACCAAGGGCTTGACTATATGTTATTTGATCTTCACAACCATTATATGAAGTCTATATTATCCCCACATATGCAAAAGGGAGGCTCAGAGAGGTCATCTGTCCAAGATCACACTTCTTTTAAATGGCTAAGCTAGGATTTAAATCCATGTCTGATGCATTCCTTGATAAGTGTTTGTCAGTTCATGGCTCACTGAAAGAAGGACTTTTCTTTTTTAATGTAGTGCAGTATTTCTTCTATCAGTCCCTTGGTTTTTACCAGAGAACCAGGGCCATGAGTAGCTTGTTCTCCTTGATGAAAGGAGCTGTAGGTGAATTGTTTCCTGAAAGGCAGAATGATTGAAACCTGTTCGCAGGACAAGGCTGTAAGAGGAAACAGAATGTAGGGGTTGTCTGATTGTTTCTGTGCCCTCAGTCCTGGGGCCGTGTGCCTCCTTAGTCTGCATCATTACTTAGCAGCTCCATTGTCATGTCCTGCAGTACAAACTTGGTGATCCCTGCAGTTTGATACCGTCCTTGTGCTATCTGTCTCTAAACCTTTCTTCCCCAAATCCTCTGTTGGCCCATCCTTTGCTGGAAGGTTTAGCCTCAGTAGGCCAGCTTTTCCTGCAGAATCTCGTTCACTTCTTTGGTTCCAGTGAACCCTCTGGGTCACATTTCAAGGCTGACTTTCCTCCTGAGCTTCAGCCCTGCATTTCCATTGCCGAAGGATATCTGTACCTTAATGTTCTACCTCAAACTCCATATAACCAAAACTGAACAGCGCTCCCTCTAGACCTATTCTGATTCTCTTGTGTTCTCCATTTCCAATGGTCCCTGTTGTCTTCCTAGTTCCAGGTTAGAGAGCTTAGGGGTCCTTTCTTATTCCTCAGGTAAGTCTTTTTGACTCTAGCCCTGCTGTGGCTCTTAGAACCATCCCTTCTTCCTCCTCTCCCACTGATCCTGTTTAGAACCTTTATCTCTAACCTTGATCATGACAGCCAGCCTACTGTTATCTCTCCTAACCTCTGCTTACTACTACTTTTTCCCCCTCTTTAACTCTGCCCCCCCACCCCACCCCGCCGACTTCTACCCCCGACCCATGGATGTTTTCATTTCCCCTTAAGAACTGGATCTCTGAAGGCAGGGTGTCTCCTCCCACGTGCTCGCAGCATGCACCCAAGGCGTGGCACACCCGGAGTATGTATGGTCAATGTCTCCACGTGGGGCGCGAACCCAGGACCTTCTGTGTGCAAAGCAGACGTGCTAACCACTACACTATGGAGGCACCCCCTGCTTACTACTATTTTGAAATTTTTCACCACACTCTATTTTATTCGGCTTCTCTCTGTGCAGGACCCTTGAATATCTGTGAAGAGATGACTATTTTGCATGGGGGCTTTTTGCTGGCTGAGCAGCTGTTCCGCCCCAAAGCATTGGCAGAATTGACAAAGTCTGACTGGGAGCGTGTTGGGCAGCCCATTGTAGAGGCCTTGAGGGAGATCTCCTCTGTCACAGCATGCTCCCAGCCCTTTGCCTGGAAGAAGAAAGCTCTGGTTATCATCTGGGCCAAGGTTCTTCAGCCCTACCCTGTCACCCCTTCTGACACTGAAACTCGGTGGCAGGAAGATGTATTCTTCTCAGTAGGCAGCATGATCCCTACCATCAATCACACTGTCCTTTTTGAACTTCTCAAGTCCCTGGAAGCTTCTGGACTCTTTATCCAGCTCTTGATGGCCCTGCCTACCACCATCTGCCGTGCAGAACTAGAGCACTTTTTGGAGCACATGGCTGTTGACACTTCTTCAAAGGATGTGGCGTTCTTCCTTGATGTCTGGTGGGAAATGATGAAACACAAGAGCAATCAGCAGGACCCCTTGCTCTCCCAGTTTAGGACAATGGCCCATAAGTACTCATACTCTTCAGATGAGTTCTCCCACCCTCCAAAGAGGTTTAAGTCAGACCCAGACGTGTGTCCTACCATGCCCCTGTTGGCCATGCTGCTCACTGGGCTGAAACAAATCCAAAATAGTATCCTGTGCCCCGGGATGAAGTGTTACGCATTAGCCAACTTGGCTGACATGCTGACCGTGTTTGCACTGATGGAGGATGACCCTCAGGAAGTGTCTGCGACCATGTATCTAGACAAACTGGCCACAGTGATCTCTGTGTGGAATTCGGACACCCAGAACCCATATCACCAACAGGCGCTGGCAGAGAAGGTAAAGGAGGCAGAACGAGATATCAGCTTGAGCTCGATGGCCAAGCTCCCTAATGAAACTGTTTTTGTTGGGTTTGAGTTCATGCGTAGCCTGCTGCAAGAGTGGGGGGAGGAGCTGCAGGCCATGCTCAACAGTGGCCAGGGGATGAATTATGACAGCTACCGGCTGTGTGACAGTCTGACTTCCTTCAGCCAGCACTTGAAGCTCTATCTGGATACCACTAGCTTGTCCAAGGAGGAGAGGCAGGTGGCCTCTGAGCTGGCAGTGCATGTTGGGGACTTCCTGAGGAAAACGAACAGGGTGCTGAACAAGGGCTTGGAGAAGGACATCACCGCCTCGATTGCCATGGCCGTTATTGAACAGAAGATGGACCGGCACATGGAAATGTGCTACATTTTTGCTTCTGAGAAGAAGTGGGCCTTCTCAGACGAGTGGCTAGCCTGCTTGGTTAATAACCAGGCTCTCTTCCGAGAGCCAGACTTGGTGTTAAAGCTGCTAGAAACAGTGATGGAAGTCAGCACATCAGACAGAGCCATTCCCAGATCTCAGATCAAACAAGTGATTGACTTGATTCTGGAATGTTACGCAGATCTTTCACTACCAGATAAAAATAAAGTCCTCTCAGGGGTCCTGCTTTCCTGGGGTCGAAAGGGTCTCTCCGAGCGGTTGTTGGCTTACTTGGAAGGGTTTCAGGAAGACCTGAACACAACTTTTAACCAGCTTGCACAGAGTGCCTCTGAACAGGGCTTGGCTAAAGCTGTAGCTTCTGTGGCCCGCCTGGTAATACTGCACCCGGAGGTTACTGTGAAGAAAATGTGCAACATGGCTGTGGTCAATCTCGGCACCCACAAGTTCCTGGCTCAGATTCTTACTGCCTTCCCTGCCCTTAGGTTCGTAGAAGAGCACAGTCCAAATCCATCCACCACTTTCGTGGTGTCATGCCTCAAAGAAACAGTCTGGACAAAGTTCTCTACACCCAAGGAAGAGAAGCAATTTTTAGAGCTCCTGAGCTGCTTGCTGAGTCCTGTGAAACCTCAAGGGATTCCAGTTGCTGCTCTTCTTGAGCCAGATGAAGTGCTGAAGGAATTCGTCCTACCATTCTTGATGCTAGATGTCAAAGAGGTGGATCTCAGTCTGAGGATCTTCACCCAAACTCTCGAAGCAAATGCCTGCTTAGAGGAATATTGGCTCCAGACCTGTTCTCCATTCCCCCTCATCTTCAGCTTGTGCCAGCTGCTGGATTGCTTCAGCAAATACTGGCAGCTCCCCAAGGAGAAGCGGTGCCTCTCTTTGGATGGGAAGGATTTGGTGATCCATATCCTGCAGCTCCTCTGTGAGATCGTTTTAGATAATGCCGAGACTTTCTCCCCAGACACCTGGATCAAGTCTCTGTCCTGGCTCCACCGGAAGTTGGAGCAGCTAGACTGGACTGTGGGCCTGAGACTGAAGAACTTCTTTGAGGGACACTTCAAGTGTGAGGTGCCAGCCACACTTTTTGAGATCTGTAAGCTTTCTGAGGATGAGTGGACCTCCCAGGCCCACCCTGGGTATGGGCCAGGCACAGGGCTTCTTGCCTGGATGGAGTGCTGCTGCATCTCCAGCAGCATCTCTGAGCAGATGCTCTCCCTGTTGGTGGTGGATGTGGGCAACCCTGAGGAGGTCAAATTGTTCAGCAAGGGCTTTCTGGTGGCCCTGGTGCAAGTCATGCCCTGGTGCAGCACCCGGGAGTGGCAGTACCTTCACCAGTTGACCAGGAGACTATTGGAGAAACAACTCCTGCATGTCCCTTATAGCTTGGAATATATTCAATTTGTTCCTCTGCTCAACCTGAAGCCCCTGGCCCAGGAGCTCCAACTCTCCGTACTCCTCCTGAGAGCGTTCCAGTTTCTGTGCAGCCAGAGTTGTCGTAATTGGCTTCCTATGGAAGGCTGGAACCATGTGGTCAAACTCCTCTGCAGCAGCCTGACCAACCTCCTGGACTCAGTTAGGTTGATACAATCCGTTGGCCCTTGGGCCCAAGGACAAGAACAGGACCTGACCCAGGAATCCCTATTTTTTTATACCCAGGTATTCTGTCATGTTCTGCACATCATGGCCATGCTCCACCAAGAGGTATGTGAACCACTCTACGTTTTGGCCTTGGAAATCCTCACCTGCTACGAGACCCTGTGCAAGACCAACCCTTCTGTTAGTGCTTTGCTCCAGAAGGTAAATGAGCAGCGCTTCTTAAAGTCCATTGCCGAGAACATTAGCCCCGAGGAGCGGCGCCAAACCTTGCTGCATAAGATCAACAATTTCTGACCTTTGTAGATCTGAAAACAACTGGGTCTCCCTTGGGCGAGTTCTCTAGGGGCAAGAGCCTAGAAGCATAAAATTTTCAGTTAAGTGAAATTGTAACAAGCTCAAAAATATATGGCAATAATAGTAAAGAAAATAGTTTCTTAGGTATTTATAACATACAAATTATAATAAAATTCTGTTTCATTTTGTATCTTTTGAGTCTTCATCAATAGTCTAGGCTTAGATATGCTGAAATTGAGCTCAGCTAGAGTCTTAAAGATCAGATCAAGCTGGAACATGTTCATAACTAGATTTCACCATCCTAAAATTTGGTAAGTAAGTCAAAGGATGAAACCACCCAAGTGGAAAAGTTATAAGGTACGAGCGTTCTTTTACACTGAAACTCTCTTCAAGAGTCATTTAATGGTCTCTTACAAAGGGCAGCAATTAGGAAAAGAACTCTCTTCTGCTACCATTTGGCTGTGTGATTTGTATGCCAGAAAGCCCTATGCCACTTTAAGGAGAGGATTGTACTAAGCAGATTTAGTGTTGGGTGGGGGCAGATTTGTGACCTCAAGAAAATGGCTGGCTTCTGAATTAAAGATACTGCCATACAGCCTTAACTCCATTTAGTGGATCCAGTACGGGCTGTGCTAAAACTAGGTCTGGTAAACACAGCAGAGGTGTGTTTTGAGGATGTGTAATTATCTTCTGCCTGGAAGGGATTGTCACAGTTTTGGAGAATGACTGGAAGCAAGGAATGGTGTCTGCAGAAGCATAAAAATGTGAATTTAAGGTGCCCAGGGCATATTGCAGAACTGCAAGAACTGGAGCCCAGTATGAGATATTTAATTTGGAGGCAAGAAATGCAAAGGATATACCCCATTACCCTCATATCCATGACCTCACTCAAAATGGGGCATTATTCAGGTTCCCTCCCCCACCTAAAGTGGGCTGGCTCTGGGGCCTACAATTTGAGTTTTCACTCTCCCAACTCCTAATTGGAATTCACCTAAGAAAAAAAGAAAGGACCTAAAGTTATGTGACCACTGTGCTTGAACACTAGGACCATGAATCACAGAAACATGTTAGGGTAAGATATGAGGTAGGCTCTCCTGGATACTCAAAGCATTAAGATATCCCCCTTCCCCCAACACCCCATCTCTGCCAGTTACATGTATATAAACATGAACTAGAAACTAGCACACAAGCAGCCAATCAAGTCTGGTCAGGGGGTGAGTCTTATGGAAGTTGGTATTGATGTATTTCACAAATGAGAATAAGTTGGGAAATATTAGTGCAATTTGATCACCGAGGGGTGATTTATAAAGATATTCCAATAGTAAACAAAACAAAATTACAGCATTTTGCCTTTTTTTTTTTAAATGGCACCCATTAAAGACAGTCAAAATGAGACACATATTCAGTACTTTAAAAACTCATGGACAACAATGAATTAAAAGGCAATCACAGAAACATGTTAGGGTAAGATATGAGGTAGGCTCTCCTGGATACTCAAAGCATTAAGATATCCCCCTTCCCCCAACACCCCATCTCTGCCAGTTACATGTATATAAACATGAACTAGAAACTAGCACACAAGCAGCCAATCAAGTCTGGTCAGGGGGTGAGTCTTATGGAAGTTGGTATTGATGTATTTCACAAATGAGAATAAGTTGGGAAATATTAGTGCAATTTGATCACCGAGGGGTGATTTATAAAGATATTCCAATAGTAAACAAAACAAAATTACAGCATTTTGCCTTTTTTTTTTTAAATGGCACCCATTAAAGACAGTCAAAATGAGACACATATTCAGTACTTTAAAAACTCATGGACAACAATGAATTAAAAGGCACTTAAAATCTAGTTTTTCACTACCACTTGAAAAAAAAAAATTACGTGGTAGCAGTTTCTAAAACCCATCCTAGTTGATAAGGAATGATTAGTGTTGGCACCAGAGGCTCCCATTTGCAAATGGTAGTGAAGGAATCAGTCCACAGGACATATTTTAGCCAGGGCTGTCTTCCACTCTTGCCCTCCAGCCTTGTGTGGCCAAATGGTGGTATGCCCACATAGGAACAGGCTTTGGATCACAAGCTCTGGTTTATCAAGAGGCACTCTAGATGAGACTTCTCATGGTTTGTACTACAGAAATCCATTTCCACTTCATGTGAAAAGGATAGTGTCAAAGAGTGAGATTACCCAGTAAGTAGCTTGGTAGCCACCATTTCACTTTACCCCTATAGTTCTTAAGAGCATCCTAAGTGTGTGGATATGGGGAAAGCTGGGCTTAAGGAGATATGCTAAAAAAGGAATAGTGTTTGTGACTATTTACAGCAAACTCAAGTTTGACACTGGTCTTACCAAATTGGCCTGCAAAGTTGCTGACCTATTGGCCTTCCTAATTCCTCAAGTGCTTCAGGTTCCCATTCCTGCCTCCTGCCTCTACCACCACCACCACCAGTGAGACATCTGACTGGAAGTCAGTGAACAGAATTCAACGTTGGCACATGGATGAAAGGTTGAGGCAAAAGACCAATGGGTTATCTAGTAAACAATAAAAAACTACCTACCCACACAATTTTCCCAGGCCAATATAAGAAATTATTTCAAGACCTAAGTCGTCACTTGCTTCTGCTGGCCCAGTATGTGTGGATACTGCCCTGAGTGTTTGGAAGGTGGGTAGCCACCAATATTAGAGCCAGGAGAGTGCCCAGACACTTATCACCCTGGTTGACCTATCTCCACAACCCATGATTCTACCTCCCAGAGCCCTTGAGAGAAGACCCAAGGAAGGATTCTTGGGCTTGCATTAAAACCACCTTGCTGTCAATGAAGGTTTGACAGGATCCAATAGGTGTTACTAAGAAAAAAGTGCTTTTGCAAAAGGGCAGGTTAGAAGAGGGAGGTAATATGAATATTCTTTTGAAAAACTCATACCCATCTGCTTATCAATACCCAAAAGGCTGAGGCCACCCAAGGTACTATTTGGTCCATGGAATACTGAGTGGAGAAGGCAGCCAGGATGAGGAGGCACCCTCACTGCCTGACTCCTTGGAGCAATTATCCATCCTTTTCAGCTGGGGGAGTGTCAAAGAGCCGGGCTGCCTTCTTGCACAGCAGAGAGAACCAGTAGATCTGGGGAGCCACGAGGAAGGCATTGGCCACATTGCAGAAGAAAGGGATCTTGAATGGCACTTGGAACAGGCTTAGTCTCTGCTGTTGGCCATAGGACCAGTACATGAAGGGGAAAAGAAGGATCCGACAGCTAAAGAAGGTGGTCAGCGTGAGAATTCCGTTCACCTTGTACAAAAGGGTGTGCTGCTTCTTTAGCTGCAAAAGAAGAGGGAAGGAGAATGCAGGGTCACCAAGAGGTTGGGCCATCAGGGAATGACTAGCCCAAGTCCCACAGCAGTAAAGGCCAAGTGTCTAGCTTGGAAAAGATGATTGGGCACTGCCACACACACACACATGTGTGTATGTGTATATATATACACACACATATAATGTATATATGTATATGCATATAGCCTCGTAAGTTTTCCAGTAATGATGTTGAATTTGACCTAAGCCACCCAACTGACAGGAGCACAGGAACAGTGGATGAAAAACTCCGTGGCTAGAAAAACACACACACACATAAAGAACTGTATCAAATTTGAATCAAACATACAATTTTGTCTCCACTAGCTTGGAAGACCAACTGACCTTTAAGTCTGTTCAAGGGTGTCCTATCCCACTATTCCTAGCACTAAGAGATTTCTCCAAACCCCACGATCTGACAAGGAGAAGCAGAGTCCGTATCCTCTGCACTATTTCTGCCATTTCATCCATACATGCCTGAATCAGAACTCTGCCCAGCGACACAAATGGAGTGCTCAGTTCTGCTGTGAAGATGCAGCCAACAAAGAAGTCCCCCAGGTCTCCCCTAAGCCTCTGTAGATGAAAAGAGGAAAAAGGAAAATAAGACATGGAGGTTAAGGAACCACCAGAAGGAAAATTCTAACTAGGGCTGTTGAAAAGGGTAACCATGAGAGACCATGAAGAGAAAAGGAAATGCTAAATGGGTACGTGTAGACCCATGTAACACTCTGCTGCTTCCACAGCAATGGCACTTTGCTTGTCAAATACCTAGGATCCAACTACCTATGCAACTTCAGATCTGCTGATTGCATCACACACCAAGCTTTTTCTGAATTTCAATGTCAGCCAGAAAGAACTCTGCAGCCTACTTTTGGGTATCTAACTTAGTCATGCCAAGGGCACTTAGCCAGGACAGTTCAACAAAATATGTGCCAGGCCCGGTTCTAGATGTTAGGGAGACTTCTTAAAGAATGTACTGCACTCTACCTCTCCTTTCATCGTTTCAAAAAAGTAGCATAGCATAGTAGAATAGCACCACTTAGTACCACTGAGTGAGGTATGTAAACTCTTAGAGCCCCAGTATCTTCATCTATGATAGAGGGCTAACAATTCCTGATTACTTCTAATCATTTCTAATTATTAGGAGAAAGCTATGAGCTTTTAAATCAAGCGACTGTCACCTGGTAGGCACTCAGAAATTACTAATTTCCTCTGTGCCTTCCCATCTCTCTTCCTTGCTAGGGTTTTTACGGGAAAATGGATCTGGGGAGAAATTAGGAGGCTATTTACTTTGAGAGTGTCCTTTTGTGACATCAAAATAAAGCGTACAGTAATCTCTGGCACTGTAGTAGAGCAAATAACCAGCTGACTGAGCTACTCTCATTTTTTAAAAACAATTTTTATATCATTTTGTATTTTATATTTTTATATTGTATGAACTAAAGACAGAACCTTTGGCAAAGGCTAGGGAATCACAAAGGGCTGGAGGGTTGCTGGCAAAGAAGATCACAAACATTTCAGATTTAATTTTTCTACATGATTTGCCTGGGAGATTTAACTGCAGAAGTGCTATCATGAGGAGACATGAGTGCAGTAGGGAAGCAAAGGAAAAGGGGGCAATCCTGACTCCTAAGTAATGGTCAGGATACCCAGTTCAACAGGAGAAATGAGTGACCAATGCTGCTGGTGGCTATGTCCTGGGAGGCCATACCTGTGTAACTGGCACTAGGACCAACAGAATGGCCATGTGGTGCGTGATCATGAGGCGGTTTTTACTTAGGAAGTTTCGAAAAATGGTGAGGGAGTGTCTGCGGTTCGGTTCTCTGGTTCGGTACCATTCACAGAGGTACATGGCGTAGATGTCATAGACCATGTATGGAATCAAAAACCAGACATATTCTCGGGCAAGCCAGTGCCTGAAAGAAAGCATATATATGAGTGGTCCATGAAATAATTATGGATATCAATTGCCAAGGCTCAAAGCTAACTTCTCAAACACATTCCCTTCAGCTTTGTATTAATCAGCTCTTTTTACTCCAAATACTTTACAATGAAGATGCTGAAACTGATAAATAAGGATAGTAAACAATTTTCTGTAAATTACAGAGCAAACGTGCAAGTGTCAAAGGCAGAAAGCAGGAATTCACTCAACACCATGTGTTTAAGTGACTAGGTGTCACTATTTGCCTGACTTAGCTACTCAATTGTAATGGATTTTCTGGCATTTTGTGATATAAAATGACTAATATGGTTATCTATACCAATGATTCAACAGCCCCACCAAGAAACTGGTTTGGAAAGTGTCCCAAATCCCAATCCAATATTTCCAGTTTAGCTCCACTCGTTACTCAACAGTTGGGAGTTTCCTCTTGCATCTGCTTGTAACCCCACTCTAGGAGGTTCTGGCAAGCAACCCTGGTCATTTTCTTTACAGTTCTATGGCTAATCCCAATTCCACTCATTAAGAAAAATATGTCTGGAAATAAGCCCGGAGCTCAAGAGTACCTTACAGCACTCGCATATCAAAAGAGAAGGTGGGACAAAAGACAGTGTTCCTTTTATTTGTCTAAAGGGGTTGAATCAATATTTGCTGAGTGGAAATGATAGTTTATCACTGCCCTAGAGCCACTTAGAAGGAAAGTCTGTAATTTCTATAATTTAATTCCCAAATGATAAATCATAATTCTACAGAAAACTCATGAGGAAAAAAACACCTAAACTGAATGTACTATACTGGAAAGGATCAGAGTCACTAAATCAGCAAATTTTCATTGAGCATCCATGTGTTAGATAGAAGAAACAATTTAGTTTTATGGGTCTCAGTTTCAAACTACTGTGAAAATCAGAATCACCTGCAATGCTTGTTAAGGACTCCACCTCCCAAAGACTCTAAGTGGTTTGCTCATAGCCCTGAAATCTGTAGTTGTAACTTTGTCTCAGGTGATTTCCTAAGTAGCTAGTCCACAAACTGCAGCATTGGGAATATACTCTGTAAGAGTGCCCTTCAAGTTTCTGTTCCTGAGCACTTCCCAAAGCATAACTCAAGAATGAATAAACAAAGAAACAGGCAAACAAGGAATGGCAAAGAGTGTGTGTGTGTGTGTGTGTGTGTGTGTGTGTGTGTGTGTGTGCGCGCGCGCGCGCGTTACATACATATACAAATGAATGAATGAGTCAAGTTTCATTTAGGCAAAAAGATGCAATCTTAATTCTACTGCCCAGCTATGGTCTTCATCACTTTCTTGAAACAATTCCAAGTTAAATGACTATGAAGAGCTACTAAAAGCTGAGCTGGAATATAACTGGCCACTCCCCTTGAGTGGAATCTAAGGTTTTAATATTTTGTACACAGTACCAATTCAATAAGATCTGAAATTGTGGCTGTTTGGTAGAATTCTCTGAAGATTTATTAGCAAGATCTAGATTATAATATTAAACTACCACTTGCCTGGGATTTAGCTTTCTTTATAAAATGAAGATAACAATCCTTGACTTACTTCCCTGACAAAGTTATTGTGAAGATTAAAAAACTAAAAGTGTGAAAGTCCTTTTAAACATAAAAAATACTATCCAACTACAAATGCTTAAATTAAGAAAATTGCCTAGAGCTGTCCTTTTAGAGATCAGGATCTCTTTAAGAGTCCGATAAAATCCTTGGCCCTACACTACATTCTGCATATAATTTGAGGGGATTTATAGGTACACCTTCGTTCCTATCTATAGACATCCTACATAAAAGCATAAAATGAAAAGGCATATAATAGAAAAATATTTGGGTGTATAAGAGCCTAACAGCTGTTTTTTTTTTTTTTTTCAAGAGATGATCTAGGTGCCGTTAGAGCATCCATGTGAAGATGGAGGGCACAGAAATGAGTCTGTCTCCATTTTGCAATCAGAGAATCTAAGACATAAAGATACACAAAAGAAGAACCTGAAAACCAAAACTCAGGTTTTGCTACACCATGCTCAAGCCACTAAAACACACCGTTTCTAAGAAGAAAACACAACAGTGGTGCTGTATAACTGAAAGTTAATGGTGTATAAATATCCTTTTCTGAACTGTATAGCTGCTTGCCCTCGTGTCAGCTCAAGATAGTGCTGAGGAGCCACATTTATCTTAATATTTACAGAAGGGACTGGTTTTAAGTTTAATCTGACAAACCGGAGCAGTGAGGGAGCTTGCCTCATGATCACAAAATGCTCGAGTAAAATAAAAATTGAATCTGGCCAAGCAAATGCTATTAGCGTTTGGTGTATGCAATCAAAGTCACTTGACCTGTCTCCTCTCAGCATCCATAATGGATCGTTGAGAACTGGTTTTGTCTACAAAGAGGCATAAGAAGATAAGCACGAAAATCATGATGGCAAGATTAATCCCAGGTAAGATGCAGATGCTATGTGCAGGCCTCAGTGTGACAGATGACCCACTCAGGTCCTTCTCCCATTCCAGTCTCAACAGGTGAAAAGAGAGACACTTTGCAGAGTCAGCATGACAAAAAGATCAGGCTCATACTTTCCCTATATATTTGACTAGAGCTCTTCAATTTAATAGGGAGAAAGTAACAGTGGTTCTAGGAAGACAGGTGAAAAAAAAAATGGCTTCGAAAACAAAACACCACCATTGCTCAGGTCTAAATATTATACAAAGCAGATCACCCTGGTCTTTATGGTTTGTTTCACTAGATGCGCATTCCCTGATGGGCCTCTGAACTGAGAGCTCTAACACACATACGAGTCAGTTTTCTGGAAGCACTAGAAACCTCTTCACCACCTCTAGAAAATCCAGAGGAAAGACAAGAGCAGCATTTGTAAGGAAAGGGGTAGTGGATTTGTTCCTTTCCATAGGAAGGCTTTGCTAACCACACTGCACATATCTTCGCTAACAAATGCTCCAGAGCAGGACCCCAGTGAGATCACTTAAAAGAACCAAAAGCCACACTCTTGCTTCTGAATAATTTTCCAAGTTCATAAAGAACTTGGATCAATGGACCATACTGTCTTCTCACATGCCACCTTAGATCAGGTTTAGACTCTGTCATTCTCTAGCATTTCTTCAATTTACTTTCTCCTAAGGTAGCCATGCTGAAATAGGTGAGGAGAGGAGGCGGGCACTAATTATGATGCCCAAATTTTCCCATTAATCGGCTATCCAATAGCATGTGCTGATAAAGAACTAGTGCCTGCGAGCCACTAAAATGTGCAAACTTCGAAAAAGTTCGGCACTGATATTTGTGTTTCTTTCACCTGGCATTGGATGTTACCTGTCGGTGACCACGTTTCTACAGGAGCAGATGATGACGATCCCTGACCCGGTGGCTAATATAGCCTGCGCTGAAGAAACCACCCTAAAGAGCAGCAGAAAAAGAAAGGGGTGGGGGGAAATCAGTGCAGTCCCATGGACAGAATAAAGCCAAAACTCTTCAATCTTACTTTCCTTTAGGCTGCCAGCGCCAGGAAGAAATTAGTAGGGCCGCCGCCGCGCTCCCGACCCCCAGGGCAGCTAGTAGATGTGGGGAGCAGGATTCCTTCCCCATCCTGACCAGCGTGGACAGCCCTTCGACCTGCTCCCCTCTCCCTCCAGGACAGGACGCACAGGGAGTTCACAGAGCCCAGGCCAGCGCCGCAGAGAGGGGCAAGCAACCAGGAGGCAGCCCCCTCGCTTCCTGTCGCCCCCCCCCCCTTTCCGCCCTCACTCCACGCAGGGCAGGGCGCAGCCGGGTCGGGGAGCTGTGCAGCCCGTGCGCGGCTGGGTGGGGCGGGCGGCGCCGGCCTCGCAGCGTACCTGGTGCTGATCATCACGCAATCGTGGTCGGAGCGTTCGGGCCACGCGCGGCGCAGCCACCAGGTGCAGAGCACGAAGAGCCCCGCGAAGAAGAGTGAGCCCCAGGCCAGCAACAGCAGCATGGGTGCTCAGGGCTCGGCGCCTCGCTAGGCGCTCTCGGCAAGGCTCAGGTCGGCTCCGCGCGGCTCCGAGACTGGCGCGGCCCGCCCGCCCCTATTTCTACCCTCCACCCTCCACCCCCGCCTGGCCAGTCGTAACTCTGGCAGTCGCCCAGCGCTGGCTCCAAGCCTGCAGCGCCACTCTCCGCGTGACCAGGCCGGCGGCAGCGATAGGCGCTGGCTGGCCGGCCGGGGCGGAGTCTCGCGCTGCCGCCCGGAGGCCCCGAGGCTCCCCCGGATTCCCCCGGCCGGCCGGCAAGCCGACCGCGGAGGCCAGCTGCTGCCCGAGCCCGGGGCCGCGGCGCGTTCGGCCCAGAGGGGTCCTAGCACGCCGACATTGCGCCCCGGACAAGCGGCGAGCCACTGTCCGCCGCCGTTCTCCGAACCGCCGCCTGGCCGAGGCAGTGGCGGGAAGGGTCGGGTTTTCTGATTATACAGTTCCGTCGCCTCGGACACCTCCCCTTCCCTCGGGGACCAGCGTGAAAGATGAAATGCCCTGCACCTGCCACAGCCCTCCTCTCCTCCCCTGCCCTGGGAGGAGGGACGGGGTGGGGGCAGAGCCCACCGAAAAAGCCAGGTAGGAAAATGCACTTAGTCGAGACTCTCTACCATCAGTGTGGGGCGAGCCCTCCAGGCACTAACAGTGCCTGGTGCGAATGGTGCGGTGGGCATCTCTCTTTGGGGGAATGAAGGAGAAGGCTAGTGAGCTTGTGGCAATCTGCTATTCTGTGGCCTGGTTTATCTACTGTGCACTCTTGCTTTCAAATAGGATTGTGAAGGAAATGATCTTTCTGCAGGCCAAAGATGGCTTTTCCACGTCTTGCCAACTGTTGCAGTTTCTCCAGAGGGCGTCGCTCGGAAAAACATTAAATCCTGCTACAGAATCCAGCAGTTCCTCTCTCAAACTCCATATCGAGGTGGAATTTCCTATCTATAGACTTTCTGTGGTACTGTGCGGTGCTACCTCTTGGCTTTGGGTCAAGGTACTACCCAGTCTCGGTGATTGTTTTGTTGTTGATGTTGACAATGGTTCTTATTTAAAAGTTCCCGGCCAGGTGCCCTAAATTTCAGTGGGCTGGAATCTGTTCATTTTCAGCACCAATCACATGGGCCAATACAATAACTTAAGTATTACCAGCTTCTCTCCCTCTTAGGAGTTACCCAAGTTTTACTTTGCTTTGGTCTATATCTTTCTCAGCTAACAAATGTGGGGAGAAATACAATTCATTTATGTCTACTGCACTTGAAAAGTACAGTGGAGCTCTTCAAGTCACCATAACGCAAAATGCTGACAAAAGCCCCATAAGAGGACTCTATCTGGAACAGCCCCTCTCAGCCACTTTGGGCCATGCTTTCCTCATTTGTGAAATGAAGAGGCTGAATTACAAGCTCTTTAAGTCTCTTCCAGCTCTAATTTTTAAAGATTATATGACTTTTATAAAGTAACATGATTTCTGTTAGATGCCAATTAAATTTCTCTACCATGGCAGTTACTAGTGTAGAAGCAGCTATAGAGTAAACACAGCTTTTAACATCTTCCTTAATGTTGTTAAGCTGAGGGATTAGCCAACATGTATAAGGCAGAAAACCCAAAGAAGAGTCTGAAGTTGAATTTTCCACTTAGGGCAGCATCTCTAACTTCCAAATTTACTGCTAACATTCTTGGTGAGACGAGAGAGACACTTCAGTTTGGTAGCAAGGTATCTGGCCAGTACAAAGCTTTCTGTATTTTCACATTTGCATGTGGACAAAGGCCAGCTATCCATAAACTTTCCATTCTCTCCAGAAGATCAAATCCTTGTGCATCCACTTTTTATTTCCTACCTATTTATCCCAGTCACCTTGAGCTCCAGATTTTCTAGAGAGAGGGAAGTGATTAAAAGTCCTCCCTGCCTTCTCTCCTTAATGGGATCAGCAACGTGCACCAAGGATGCTAACACTATTAAGCGGTGAGAACCAATCTATACCCTATGCAACAAGTTGTTTGTATAACTCCTAAGGAGTCTATGAGATGAAAACAAGACAGATGGTTCACGTATAGAAAATAGCAAGTAAAATCAGTTTCCAGTGCCATATTCATGAAGTCACCAGAATGTTTAGGTTGGATCACCAGAAAGCCAACAAGCATAAACATGAACGTTGACTTTTCAAGGGATCAAACCCCTGTGGGCAAATGATAAAGCCAAATAAAAAGCACCAAGCCTTTTGGACAGAAACTTCTACTCACCCTTCAGAAGCCTTGAGTCAAATGTTTTCTCTCCCAAGAAGATTTCTATTTACTTGTATCTCCAGGCAGATTTATAAATTCATTTTCTCACCTGTTTTTATTTGTATGTTAGCTCTTTGAAACAGGACCATGTCTTTTCTTTTTCCCGGGTTAGGCCCAGCACATTGTAAGTGCTCAAGAAATATTTAATACTTTTTAAGCTAATGTTTATTGAGTATTTACTATGTGCCAGGCACTATGTCAAACATTTTGCATGCATGATCTCATTGGGTCCTCACGAAAAATCTAGTATCCTCACTGTGTGTGTGTCAGCAAAATGAGACCCAGAGAAATTAAAATATTGCCCAAAGTCATTGCTGATGGCAGAGTTGGGATTTGAATTCAGTACTTTCCACCTTCAAGGTCAATTTGCTTAATGACTATACTGCTTTCAAATTTGATAAGCAAGGAGAGAGTAATTCTTTTTTCACAATGTAGTTTCTGATTAATAACCACTGTTCCTACTATTTACTCACAAATATAAATGTGTGGGTGGGGTTTATGGGATCTGGTGCTGCTATTAACACCATTTTATATATACATAACTTTATAATCTTTCAAAGCAGTTTCACATATATTATCTCACTTGGTTCTCAAAGTATCCCAGTGAGTTAGGTGAAAATATTATCATTTTATAGATGAAGAAATTTAAGTGCAGAACGGTAAACTGACTTGCCACCTTATGAAGTGGCCAGTCGCAAGTAAGAACATGGGGCTCCCGATTCATGTTCCAGGGTGATTTTAACTACTTCATGCTGTAGGGTTGGGATTTAAGGAGTTTTTAATTACGTTTCTTGTATGAGTTTCAAGAGTAAAGTTTGGGTTACCAGATGTTAGGATAAGACTCATTTACCAAATCAGAGTCTCACCCCTTGAACAGGAATTTATAAAGCTCCAAGTTTTGGAGGGCTATGATGGGATTTCTCAGTGGTTTCTTCTGCCACTGAGGTATATGATCCTGCTTTTTGGTCCCCATCTCTGTCATTACTTTCGGCTCAAATCTGGAAACCAAGAGGGGATAGGATGCAGAAGTGTCCCCATGTCTGCTCCCCAGTTTTCCAGCCTTAAACCGAAAATACTATATTTACTTTTAAAATACACAAGTGAATGTCATTGAGATATGTGATATTTGGGCTGCTATCCTTGATCAAAGACATTTTCTTATTCAGAAAAATGCACCTACATTTTTTTTTTAGGAAAAACAATTTAGTTTGAAAAATGATTGAGAATCACACGTGAAACACCTTCATATTTAGCTCCAGAACTGTAGAGAACTTGGGTGTCTCCATCCACTCACCTACTTAAAAAAATCAGAGCAGAGAAAATGAAACGATTCTGAAATAAAAAAGTTTTTGTTTAGATATGTACTTTATTTCTGTATTAGAGACATCTGGAAGCAGAGACAGAGGACAAAGGAAGGCAAAAAGAGAAATGCAGTGATGAGAAGAGACATGGAGAAAAAGCACAGGAAGAATATCCATTGGAAAAGACTGTTTTGTACTGGCCAGATACCTTGCTACCAATGTACAGTTATGGTGGGGGGAGGGGCAAGATACACCCTTAGGCACAGGAAAATGGACATAGAGATACAGACCCGGAGATTGGAATTCACAACAAGTGAACAAAAGAAAAAGGGCTGTAAGACATAAAGAAAGATAAAATGAGGTGTACAAAGAAAAAGAAAGTGACAGCCTTCTATGGAACATCATTCTCTTTAGGCTAGCATCAACAAAAGCCATATTACATTTGAAGATACATGGCACAAATAAGGATGCAACTTGTTCTTAGGACTTAGAATGTGGTGAGGAGGAAATTAATGGCCTTTCTCTTTTTTGTCCTGCATTTTGCATTCCATAAAACACTCTATCAATATGGTCTTGCACTGATATCTGTATATGTGTTTCCTTGTAGACTGCATACCTCTGATGGGTAGATAGGGCCTGTGGTCCAGGAGGCAGCCATGGCATACAGCACTGTGGTCTAGGATTACAGGACCTGAGTTTCAGTCCTACTCTGCTATACATAAGTTGTGTGACATAGGACAACTATTTAACCTCCCTGTAAAATGGGGATTCCTCTACTTACCTTGCAGGGTGACCATGAGGATCAGATGAGATAGTTTCAAAAAAATATATGAACTATGTGCTGGGCACAGGCCAGGGACTACTTTTCTTTATTTTGTATCTCTACAGTATAGTTACTTGCTGTTAAGCTTCTGAATAAATAGCCATTGGATTGAAGATACCCTGGGCCTGGCCTTAGCCAGCTTTCAGACTGCAGCTTCCTCAATTTTATCCTGGACTGTTTGCAAAGGCAAACTGTAAGTCTAAGAACCACAGTCACACCCCAAGCACATGGCTTCTACAAACAGTGACCACAGCTGCATACCACAGGGAAGTCCACTCTTGTACACAATGATAACGACTCCTGTCAATAAAAAACTATAATTTACACAAAGGACTGATTATATAGTATTTGCCTTTGTGTATTGCTTTATATTTTTCAAAGCACTTTCAAATACACACTTCGTTTCTATAAATGCAAAAATTTGCTTGTTTGCCATTGGTCACACCTAACTAAAAGTAGTGTGAGTTCTAAATTCAAGTTTAAAAAAATATTCAAGGACATCAAACCATTAAAGAAATTATCTTTGAAATAAGTTAGAACCAGCAAATAACTGTGAACAAATTCAGCTGCCTTCCTGAATGATCAGATCAGTAAATTTTAGTGTCTTCGTGTCTCATAAGTAATTCCATAAAAGCTTTTCTTGGCTTAATTCAGAAGATTTTTTTTTTTTTTTGGTTTTCTGATTATACAAGTAATATGTTAAAAAGTAAAACATGCCTATTATGTAAATTAATAATCACAATTAATGCCATCACTGAGAGATATTACTCTCTGATATTAGCATTGGTACAATTCTTCCCAGCCTTCTTTATATGCGTTTATTATATATTTGACATTATGCTTTAAATTAATTGAACATTAATATTTCACTTATAAGCATTTTTAATGTTATTAAAATTCTCAGAAACTTCATTTTTAGTGTCAAGTAATTTGATATTTGAATTATAGATTATCTTTCAAAGTCAGTTATTACTGGTTTTAAAAGGAATTCTTAACTGGGGGAAAGTAGATTTGTTCTGGCAACTTTAACCTTAAAAATATTAAGATTCTCATCCTTATTAGCACTCAGTTTCTGTCTTTAAAGTGGGCATCATAATATCTATAGAAACCCAAGCTCCTCTTTCAGTATCTAGTTCTTTCTTTTTACAGACTGAGCTCTATTAACCTGTTTACTAAACTACAATTATGTAGGCGCCTGATACTTGTGAAGAAATGAGTGAAGGAAAGCTATTCTTTGTGAAGCTAAGACTAGTCTTTTACCAGGCACAGCCACTTTCAACCCAAGAGTTAACGTCTCAACAAAATTATAGGTGAAAACCTAAATGGCCAGAAACTAAAAACAATGCAGAGAAAGCTTTTTAGTTACAAAGACTTAAAAGTATTATTTGGGAAGCAATTATATATAGCAACAAGAACCTCAGCCTCAAGTATACGAGCACATGCCTATGTGGCAGCTGAGTGTCACCACTTGTCTGTGACTGACCTCACAAACTATTAATGGTCGGTCTAAAGACTGAATGAACTGTTGAGTTATGAGCCAGGCTGAAATAGGTTTGCCTGCAAGCAGAGCAAATTCTCATGTTGCCAGGTAACATGACGGAGCTGTCTAGTGTAAGTCTTAGAAGGATTTAGGTTTTAAATACTATTAGTACAAGAGGAAGAAGGACAAGGAGCATTTGCTACTCAAGATTCTGCCACTTTCCTTCTGTTATGTATTATAGAAGTCCATTGTTTCTTTTTGAAGTATCTGTGGCTTGATTGGTTTGTCTTTATATGTCTTCTTCTGTTTAAATTCTAAGTACCATGTTCACTCAATCTGCTGCTGTCTGACACTCTACTATAGGGGTCCTAGCCGATATAACACCACATACATAAACACTCAAAAAAGATTTTAACATTGGAAAGGAAGAAAAATAACTATCATTATTTTCAAACAATATGGTAATTTATCAAGAAAAACTAAGAAAATCAACTGAAATACAGAACAAAGTAATTGAGGTAGGTAGCTGGATAGAAGATCAATGTACAAAAATAAATGGCTTTTCTATAAGCTAGAAATTATCAATTAGAAAATTTAATAGAAAAAAAGGACCATTTACAATGTTGCTTTTTTAATTTATAAAATCACTAGTTTTAGACCTAACAGGAAATATGCAAGACATAAAAGCCTAAATGGAGAACATGGCCCTAAAGGGAAGATTCAATACTGTAAACATGTCAATTTCCCCCAAATTAATCTATAAATTCAATATAATTCCAATCAGAACCCCAGCATGTTTTTAATGGACTCAATAAGCTCTTTCTAAAATTTAAGTGAATTAGAGATAATATGAAAAAGTAGCCAAGAAATATTTGAATAAAGAACACTGGGGGGAGGAGAGGAATTTACAATACATCAAAACATCCTATAAATTGTTATAATTAATAAAAGTAGAGATAGACCACAATTATTGTAATTGAAAAAGTGTAGAAGAAACAAACAGATCAGTGGAACAGAACAGAATCTTGAACCAGACCAACTAAATTTAATCTGTGGCAAGCAAGCACATCATACTTGTGAGGAAACGAAGGACTATGTAAGAAAACCACAGAAACCATTTACCTCCTTTTGGAAAAAATAAAATTAGCCGCATAGTGCTCCCCGCAAATTCAAGTCCACCCAGAACCTCAGAATGTGACTTTTTTTTGGAAATGAAGTCTCTTTGCAGATATAATTAAGGACTGAGATGAGACCATACTGGTTTAGGGTTGGCCCTAAATCCAATGAGAGTATCCTCGTGAGAGACAGAAAAGTACACAGAAACAGAGAAGGTGATGTGAAGATGGAGGGAGATTGGAATAATGTGTTTACAAGCCAAGGAAGGCCAAGGACTGCTGGCAGCCACCAGAAGTAGGGGAGAGGTATGGGAGAGCTTCACCTTCAGAGCCTACAAAGAGGAATCAAACCTGCCAACAACTTGACTTCGGACTTCTGACCTTCAGAACTGTGAGAAAATAAATTTTGCTGTCATAATGCACCCACCTGTGGTAATTTGTTATGACAGCCATAGGAACCTAATACAATATCCTGCCACACACCAGACACAAACTGCAGATATATCAGAGGTTAAACATAAAAAGCAACACTATAAATGTATCAGAAGAAAATTTCGAAAAATATTTTTATAATTCAGAGGCTAGAGAAAGCTTTCCCAAACAAGGCATAAAACCCAGATGTCATATAGAAAATGACAGATTTGTGTACATTAAAAACAAAATAAAAACCAGTACATCAAAAGGTACTAGTAACAAGTTAAAAGACAACAATTTAGAAAAAAAATATTTGTACTATATAGCAGAGCAAGGGTTAATATCCAGAATAGAGATCCTACAAATTATGAAGAAACACAAATGACCCAAAAGAATTACTCAAATGATACAAACCAGAAATACACAGAAGAAATACAAAAGGCTAAAAAGAGCTTTATAAGTTAATATTAAAAGACTGATAATATCAGTGTACATAAAGATACAAAGATACAGGTATTTTTTTCAATGCTGGTAGAAATATAAATATGTATTACAAATAGTATTGTTTGTAATAGCAAAAAAATTACAATTGATCTAAATATCCAGTAATAATAAAATATTTTATGGTATGGTCAAACTATGGAATATGATATAAACATTAAAAGGAGAGACAGGTCAAAATACAAAGATCTCCAGAACATCCTGTTAAAAGGAAAAGAACAGATCACCAAATAATAAGTATAGTGAGATCTCTTATGATTTAAAAAACTATAAATATGGTTGGTACATATACTGCAATATAATCATGCAAAGAAAGGATTGGAAAGAAAAACACCAAACTGTTAACAGTGTTTCCTCTGAGAAGTGTATATATACATGTGAGTTTTGTGTGTATATAGGTTGAGGTGAATTAAGAGTGACTTACATTTTCCTGTGTCGTATGAGTTTTTCCAATAAAAACAAGTCATTATTACATAAATATAAAAGAAAAGAAAAATCATAATAAGCACCTAGAAAGTACTGGCTCTGTTAAACCCGCTTAGCTTTCTGTAGAACATCGTTCAGTGTGTACATGCGAGTATTTTGAAATATAGTTAGAAATTTGTTAAAAGCATGATGCCTTGAAAAATAACATAAAAGGTGATATTATTAAAAACATGATATACATATAACATGCTTTGGGTGTCATTATTTTTTAAAATGTCAGTGTCCTGTAAGCTCTTGGAAAGCAATGGTTTTGATTTTTCCAAGATTTTTCCCTGCCATAACAGGACCTAACTCAGGAGGTCAGAGAGGCAGAAGAGTAAAAGCAACATAGCAGACTTTGGTGTCAGTCAAGCAGGCCAATACTTAGCTGAGTGACCTTGGCTCCTCATCCTGCTTACTCTCCTACCTACCTCAAGGATTATGGTAAAGACTAAGAAATAACATAGATGAAAACATTTAAGTTATGCAAATGCACTGTATTGTATTAGTCCCTAAAACCACTATTGTTTAGCATAGTGGATTATATATACCCTTAAAAGCTAAATTCTAAACTCAACAGATAAATGCCTAAGCAAGGACAGTGAAGGCAAAGAAAAAGGAATTGAGAATAAGCAAGTAAAGATTTTCACTGGCAGTTGACAATATGTACCTGACACTATGGGAAGAAACCCAGGTGTGAATATAAAAGATGAGGAGACTAATGATGGCTGTGAGAGTGGTCTCTCAAAGCAATGAGTCTCAGTGGAGGATTGGGTGGAGGAAGCGATCAGAATCTTGAATAATATTTAGGAAATAAAACTTTTTACTGGTTTTCTGATGTAGATCTTAAAAAGTTTACCTTGACAAAACACTGTTGGCTGGTAGAAAATGGATATCAATTATGTATCAGTGATTGTAAGATTGGAGGGATGTATCAGTGATTGTAAGATTGGAGGGATGATCACACCTCTTTTCAGAATATTGTGTGTGGGAGGGATGTTTGCAAGATGTTTGTGTTTAGCAGGAGGCATGGGCTTTAAAAAAGTTCGAGAAATACTCGATGAAATTCCCCCTATCTTAAATTTACGTGCAAAATGTTGTGCAAATGTGTATTTTTCTTCACCTCCTCCAAGTGGTCCAGTCTCAAGATTAATAACTACTGGTGTAGACCAGGAGAAGAGAAGCAGCTGAAGATCCAGCTCAGGGAATACAACAGAAAAACAAGTGTTTTCCCATTTGTTGTAATGTGTAGGACTTGCACAAAAGGAGTTGTCGTTTTACCCTATATAATGATCACTTTGTTGAGTAAGCGAAGGAATTACTGAATATGAACCCAACATAGCCAATGGGGAAGTGGTCTTGGAAGCAACTGGGAGCTAGCATTTACGCAGGACTGAATGCCTGAGCTATGACCGTGGGAACAGGGGAGCTATTGATGCTAGCTGGAGATTATGATCTGTTTAGCAAGACTGTGCATGCACAGAGAACCAGAGTACCAATCAAAACAAAACTGGGTGTCCAGGATATGGAAACATTCAGAATGATGTGAATGTCAATCAGGGACCAATGCCAGTGTCCAGGATATTCAGAAAATTCAGGAATGAAGGACAGCAAAAGAATCTGTCATCATGAAAAGCCATGTGCTAAAAACAGTCCATAAAGGAGCACCAAAAAAATTGAACTATATTCCTCCACTACAAGTCAGTCTGGATCTAAGTGACAACAGGATCTAGGTGTGATTGTGCTCAAAAGTCCTAGGGGGCATGTGGAAATTTGTGGGGAGTATTTTTGGTTATCATAATGTTGGGAGAAGGGGCTATGCTACTAGCATTTAGTGGGTACGGATCAGGTAATTCAGACATCTGCAATTTTTTACAAGAAGTTTCACAAAAAGCCCAGCTGTTCGGAAGGTCATTACAGAAAAGGAAGCTTAAATGGAATAGAGACATCATCTTGATCTTAAAAAATAACATCCTCTGTTCAATGTCTACTTAATATATCATTGTACATCTACTTCAAAAACAATGAAACCAGTTGCAAATATAACAGAATATTGGAGATTCCTTTTAACAGAAAGAAACACTAAATGGAAAGAGGCACATGAAATTGAGAGATCTCACTAGATTCCATTAACAAAGGCTATTTTAAAACTACCTAATATTTCCATCCTATATACTTACACTTTTTTTTGGCACAATGAGAAATGTTATGGAAATTCCTCATTTGGGGGTGCCTGTTTTTTTTTTCCCATTTTATCTGATGCTCACCTCAGAGATGTACCCCATTACTGCCCTACAGCCTGTCATAGTACTTCTTTTCCAATCCATCCTTTTCCTATTGCCTGCTAAAAGATAGGGTCTCCACGTTTTGTGAGTTGTTTTTTTTTTCTTTTAAAGTATTAGATTCCGAATTTATGCCGCATTTGGTGAAATTTCAAGGTAGAAAATGGTTTCTGTGATACTTTGTCATCAGCCGTACCCACAGCATAACAGGAAATTGCTTAAAAATAAAAATTCCAGCTCATTTGTGAGATTATCACCTTCTCCTACTTTAATACCCAAATTTCTCGACTCTGTAAACTCCCATATTTTATTTATCTTAAAAGTATATAATGTCTTTCCAGGCTTCTGCCTTCTATTAAAGGTATTTCCCTCTTCTGTTTATAAACAAATCAGGCTAGCCTGTTATTACTTATCTTAATGCAGTTTTTAAAACATAGTATCCATCTGTATCTCTGTTCTTTCATCTTCCTACACTTTTTGTACTGTGTAACTTATGTTCATTATTAGTATCTTATCTGCAAAGAAGGGAAATGATGGAATTTGGAGCTTCTGAGCAGGTTAGAGGTTGCAGGGGGAATGAAACTGAGAGTTGATGATGGATGTGTGAAAGGACAATCAGTGGAAAATGGACAGCATGAATTTGTACTGGAGATGGTCACCCCAGTTTCATGACTCTCCACGACAAGGTAGGCTGCTCAGAAGCAGAGAAAACAAAAATAAGGGACTACCATGAAAGGCATGGTAAACCTGGAGATGTCACTCTTCTGCTTATATTCCTTCAAAGACTTTTCATTCCTTAACATGACCTTCAAGGGCCTCCACCATCTGGCACTGTCTATTTCTCAAGCCTCTTCTTGTACCTCTCTTCCCTTGACTTTCAAAGTCCCTTTACCCTGGCCAATTTCTTCAGTCTTTGTGGCTTTTAAACATAATGTTCTTTTGGTCTGTCATCCTTTATTCCCACCCCCCACCCTTTGCTTCAGCTTAAAAATCACTTCCTCGGAGAAGCCTTTCCTGACCCCCAACTCCAATCAGAACATTCTATCACCATAGTCTCTCAACATATGCTTTACTTGTCTTTCATTAGACCTCCCATAATTACATATTTATTTGTATGAATATCCTTTTCATAAATGGAAATAGCTCCGTGGAGGCAGCCACATGGTCTGTTTTGATTGCTAAATTCTCAGCACCTGGCCCAGTGCCTACCA